TTGATTGTCTAACAATTGATAAAAAAAATTGTCAGTTGACGAAACAAGAGAAATGTGAACCATTTTCATCGTTTTTTTTATTTATTTCCAATTAAAATTATATTTTAAAACTTCTATTGACCTCAAAACAATACTAAACCAATGGAACACAATGGAAATTTAATTTACTTGGAAAAAATGCAGAAACCACATATGTCAGAGAGAAGAAAGTTTCCTTTAATAAAGAGTTCAAAAAAATCTATTGACCTCATAGACAATTTTAGACCAATGACATATGACTGATATTTATTTTGAAATTCAGTAAAATTGTGAAATTTTTTTTTGTTAAAAACTACTGCTATCGAAGAGTAGAAAGTTTTATCTAATATATCGTTTCAAAACGAATATATTTTTTCGATAAACATTTTAAGGTGCATTTTAGATGAGAAAAAAGAAAAAAAAATTCTTACATTTTATCTTCATCCGTCAAAAACTTATCGGTAATAAGTAATAAATGTATCCAAATATCAACTGCTATACCTTGAGTATATAAAATATCACTTTAAAAAATGTCTATGAATCCCAATACTTTGACCACACGAAAAATATGTCACAGCACTAATATAAAATGTCAACAATGTATCACTCGTCTCCTAATTGTGTTTCCAAGTGCCCAATTTTCAAAAAAGTAAACAGGATTACATTATTTCGACCCTGACAATGTAGCTAGCACACGCTGGCCAGATAATATTTGAATAGAGGTGGATTTCGTGAATTGCGTTGAATATAAAAGGATAGATCAGTTCGACATAAAAATAAATAATGGGCGGTAACGGCTAATGTAAAGCTGATGATGGACTGGTATTTTGTGATATTTTTGATGAGAACAGAAATGTTACTGATTGTGAAATTTACTAGTACATGTATTGCTGATGCCAACAGAAATGATGATGTTGACATTTAGATACACAGGGTGACATCGGGCGTACAGCAACTCGTCTCGCAATTTACTATTACATGTATTGCTGATGCCAACAGAAATGATGATGTTGACATTTACATACGCAGGATGACAACAGGGTGTACACACTCATCTCGTTGACATTTACATATGCATGGTGACACTGGATGCACCGCGACACTCATCTTGAAAGTTACTAGTATTGCTGATGCCAACAGAAATGATGCTGTTGATGATGATGTTGACATTTTCTTACGCAGGGTGACATGGGGCGTACAGCGACTTTCATCTCGAACATCTTACGAAATTGTAGATTATATGAGGAAAAACGTATTGTATGGTATTTCGTCAATTCTTTCTGCAAAGGTCGTGAAAGGGCAGCAACCCAGAGAGTCCAAGGTACAGAATGTGAACCAAACACTTGGTGTAAAATATATAACAGCACGATTCTAAGTTAACACATTTTTGTACCTCAATACAGGTCTGGTAGTCATTGGGGAGTTTATTATTAGCAAACTTAAAAGATCTTCAAAAAACTTTTTTTTTTAAGAGAGTCATGTCCCAAGTTAATTATTTTATTTTTGAGACGTTAGTGTTCGTTTAAATGTTATAGGTTATATCCCTAATGCATTGAACGTAGATATAGTGGAGTTCTCATTGCATCCCTCTAAATGCTGATGGGGTATTTTATATTTTTCATTCATTTCAACTCCATCGATCCAATTTGATTCTGATAATACCACTGATTTGCTGGCAAAGTACAATGTTTTACACCAGCCTACTGTTGAATTACATATATTCTTCCGTATTGGAATGCCTAGGCATTCTAATGAGGCATTCCAATACCATTCTTAGCATGCTAGTTCAGAGTCTGGGAAGTTCTCGAGAGATTTCTGCACGAGTCGCATCACAACCTGCTTTCGGGCGTTGGCCAAATACATTATTGTTATTTTAACTGTATTTGAATAACATTGAAGGTTCCGACATTGTTTTCGAACTAAGGATTGAATGCAGATTTTTTTGCGTTCGTCGGTTGATGGACGGAGAATTTTCACGTGTTAATTCGAATGAATGCCGAAAAGAGATAGCGCCCTTCTTGTCTACTTGTGATTTATGAAGGGATTAGTCCCGAAATGTAGTCACATTTACTCTAATTGTATCGACTTTTTACCTGTTTGCGCTTTATCATGTGATTTACTTTTTCCTTTAAACGAAAGGGTAGGTTTGGTATATTCGTCGACCCTCCTCCAAATAACTTCATAAGCATCCTTGTATCTTTTCTCGCCAATTTCGGAGTAGTGGTAGGATAACAGCACATTGTCTGCGTTACCATCGTGCCAAAACATATCGCCTCTACTGATAAAAGGAACCAGTTATAGAGTAATGGTTCCGAACAGTCTTTAAGAAACACTTTAAACTGCAGATCAAAGAGTGTTCTTTAGAAAATAATAAATATAGAATTCCATCTTTTGGCAAAATGTCTACTATTGCCCAATGGTGAATACCTCATTTATTGTAATCTTATAAAATTCCTATGGACACCTGAACATTTTAAAGAGTATGAAAACAATCGTAAAAGAAATACTGTTGTTCTATGCTCGTTAATTATGGCTTCTTAAAATAAATTCGAAGCGTGTGCGTCTTTTTTTATATTTTTGATTTCTTTGAAAAGAATTTGTAATTTATATAATATACTCCTAAAAACAGGCAGATGTTGATTTGCTTACAAGTCAAGGCATAGAACTATTACAGTTCTATGATTAAGGTCATTTTTAAACGAATCCTTATTACATGCTACATGGCATACATAAGACGGAAATATAAAATTTCAATTGAAAATAAAGGACATTTAGGTAACCTTTGTACTGTATGTTTTGAATGAAGAAAAAACTTATCGAATTCACAAACTATTGGTCAACGTCCATCAAAGAGTAACAAAAAATGAGTTATGAATGAAAAGCTATCATGGATAATTCGAAAATAACAGATCTGTGTGGTCTAATAATCTGTTTCTATTAAATCTTTCTGCGTACAAATTCAACTTCAGTAGAATAATTTCTAAATAAATAGAAAATGCCTTAACCTCTCAATATTTCTTTCAACGGATTGAGATATTTCACTCGCTGCTAGACGTTTTATCGGATCGAAATGATTTATGTATTCTAATGAACTGTTTCTAATAAATCTTTCTGCGTACAAATGCAACTTCAGCAGAATAATTTCTAAATAATTTGTTTTCAAATACAAAATGCCTTAACCTCTCAATATTTCTTTCAACGGATTGAGATGTTTCACTCGCTGCTAGACGCTTTATCGGATCGAAATGATTTAAGTATTCTAATGAACTGTTTCCTTAAATCTTTCTGCGTACAAATGCAACTCCAGCAGAATAATTTCTAAATAATTTGTTTTCAAATAGAAAATGCCTTGACCTCTCAATATTTGTTTCAACAGATCGAAATATTTCACTCGCTGCTAGACGTTTATCGGATCGAGATAATACATATATGTATAGTGATAATGTATTACAATATATTGACGTGAGATATACGGACTTGCCATCTGATATCTAACCACCCAAACTGTCTGGCATTTCTAAAATAACCACAGGTCAGCGTAACATTGTGTTCTATCTATCACATTAAATGGTGTTGTATTCGGTGTATTGAGATTGAACGTTTAAGTTTAGATTAATGGTTAAGAGCATAATAATTTTTAATTGAATAATGTTTACATTATGGAATCTCTGGCATTAGATATGTTTGGTGAACACCGCTTCACACAGTGGTAAAATTAATAGTTGGAGAATAATTATAATATTCATTTGAATGTTTAGACTACATTTGTGTATATATTATAGATTCTCTTGTATATTCATACTCATCGGGGTCAGATTCAAAACATAAACACAACCACCGAATGTTGGTAGTGTGTTCTAATCTCTGTCGGCGTGTGAAAGTTTATTGCCTTAGTACTCATTATACCAGTCGACCTACCTGGTTATGGAAAATCAAAAACATATAAATGCTTATGATGATACAGTCATCAAGAATTATCCTTGTGTAAAGTGTTGGTACCTTATTTCTGTCTGTTATATTGAGATCTTGTTTTTTTGTCTTAATAATACGAGTCGTCATCGTCCGAACCTCAACCACGCCTTTATATGAAACAGTGCAATTCTATGTTAGTGCTGTTTTCTATACTATACTTTTGTACTCTTCTATTTCATAACAAATAGTGACTGAAATTGATGGATGACCGTGGAATTTATATTTTAAAAAGTCGTTAAAACGATAGTCGATACCAAGTTTTGAAATTAATGTTGTCAATGCATCATCTCATTGAGTTCTGTTTACTATTTGTATAAGATATTTTTTTTGAAGGAACTATGATATAATTACTATTCAATCATATTGTTCAATTGTAAAGAGGGTTTCATCACCTTTTGAAATACTTGTGACTCACATTATCAGAGACAGCCAAACAAACTTTCGCCAGCCCTACATTTGAATTTTTCGATCGTATCATTGTCCGCTTCGAAGTAGTTTTCATCGTCTACAAGTGCCTTTAAATTTAAAAAAAAACCTTGTAAATTTCTGTTTAATTTGATATGAACGCAGATTCCCGCCAGCCCTAAATTCAAATATTCTCAATTATTTTATCGTCTGCAAACGAAGCAGTTTTCATCGTCTAAAAGTGGCTTTGCATTTTACAAAAATCTGTAAATTTCTGTTTACTTTGAAATGAACACAATTTCCCATCCCGTAAATTTCAGTCGAAAATAATTCCCAAAAAACTAATTTCATATTGATATCCTGGCATTGTTAGCAATGAGCCAACCACCTTTGTTCGTTTCAAAGAGGCTTGTAATCGAATATTCGTGTGCTCATGTTTTACATTCGGTTTTGGAGTTTTGTATAAATGAAATAGTTTATTTTCACAATAACAAATTTTATTTCTTAATGAAAATATAACAATAAATGTTAATGAAAAACTAAAATATTAAGCACCATTATAATAAGCAGATTTGTGACCGGTTATGCATCTTCATGTAATAACCTCAGCTCCTGAAAGAGAGTGAAAATCTCTTTCCTCGAGACACTTTTCTGATAGTCTTAACTTTTTGTTCTTGTTCAACCTTGTGGAGCAAATTCGGATGTTTCTCGTTTCCGTAAGAAATATAATGTCCGTTCACACTTTGAACTCGTTTTAATTCAACGTGGGGTTTTGGGTTCATCTCCTCATATTCGTCATCGAAGTCTTCGGATAATCGACTGACCAGATCCTGGTTGGTGACCACGCTGATGGCATCTGATCCAAGACTTTCATAACCACTGCTCGCATCACTGTATATGGATATTGAATTATATGTGGCAGTACGTGGTAACTTCGGTAAGGGTCTAGCCAAATCATATGTGAATCCTGTAGCTTGTTCTATTCCAGAAGACTCTGCTTTGCGCTTTTTAGATGGAGATGTGGTTTTGGGACAAGAACACTCGGCATCTTTTTCGATTTGTTTGCGACAGATAGGGCATATTATTGTCGTTTGAAAATCATTCTCGATCTTGTCAGTTAAGGTTGAAAGTTCATCAATAATCTGTGTAGCTAAATCGTATTCTGGTTCTCGAACTCTGACTTCTTCATAGATGTTTTCTTCTCCAAAAGATTTTTCAACAATTTGCTGGGATACTTCGTGAATAGTTATGTCTTCGTACCCGGATTTCTTGACACTGGATTCAAAATGTTGGGTAATCACTTCATAGTCAGAGTGTGCGCCGGAAGGTGCTGAACGTCTTCGGCATCTCTTTTTGATCCAGTTTAACATTTTCTTGCCTTCTCGGATAGACATTGTCTGTAAAATATTCAAATAAGTTTGTAAGTGATTCGTTAATGTATGTGAATTCGGCAGTGAATGTTGCTGAATTTAAAAATCTTCAGATATATATTAAATCGAAGCGTGGCCAATCATTAACTGCACGCTACAGCTTGAGGTCCGTCGTGCGCCATTATTAGATCGTCTAATATCGCCTGGCGGACCAGTGGTGCAAACTTTTAATCATTTAATTAGTGGTTAAAATGGGGTTATATGAGTTCACAGATAGACGGATTGTTTGATTGTAACATAATGGCAAACCATCAACTACTAATGGGCTAAATCCCCTATATTTACCGAAAATTGTTTTTTTGTTTTTTCTTGCTTCGCTTTGAATTTTTAAGGAGGGTTTTTTTTAGGAAGGTTTTATCACAAGGCTTTTATTTAATGTAAATAACGCTGTTTTTTTTTTTGTCACTCCGAATATTTTAGGCAATAGTTATATTTTAAACTTAAAATCCTATCAGTGAATAAATGATGATCTTAATTTGCCAATGAATGCACATGGGTAGAATATTTTTTTTTTTTATGTTTACAGGCAATTAAAAATTATTTTTTCACAAATAGATGCTTGTGAAATTCACTGGTAATGAACACATCAATTCAATTTTGTGATTTTGCTATAATAATCCCATTAAGATTTCAAACACAGTAAATGAAGTAATAAAAAAAGGACTAATGTTTCCCAGATTGAATACTATTTCATTATGACATTTTTGTTCTTGGGACAAGTAAAAAAAAATTGCTCTATTTTAAGTTTATTTTTTTTAATATTGGACATGTTAATAATTTGATGATTAGTGTCCGAATTTAAAATACATTGTTCTAACATATTCCACCCTTACGGGCTTATCGGTAATCTAAAGCAATAAGTTGTATGTCAAACGAGCTCGTGTCGACATGATAGAAGAAGTAAGAAAAAACCCAAATGAATATTGCTTGAGTATCCAATTCGAAGCCAAAAAAAAAATTCGTCATTATGATAGTAGGACAAAATGGCAGAATAACACTTCAAGATTGGTTTGCGTCGTTGTGACAATGTGGCAGCCGGACATAAATTTCAAATCAACAAACTAACGAGTTCGCGCCGTTCTGATGGAATAACAATAATATAATTTAATGTACTAAATTTACTGTCGAAACAGCAAAATTAACAGTTCGCGCCGCTATGATAGATCAACAATAACGCAGACCAATAAAGTTTGAAGTAAAACACAACATAAATTCTCGAGTTAAAGCCGAACTGATAGAATGACAAGGCAGAATTAGTTTCCTACTGATAGAAAAACAATGAGATAGGATTTTTAATGGTATTTCATTCGAAACAACAAAAGTTTCAGTTCGTGCTGTTTTGATAAGGCAGATATTTCCGTCCTAAAATTATATAAACAACATAATCACGAGTTTATTCTCTAATAGTAGAATGGCAAAAAGGCAGACGAACATTTGTTACAGTCGAAACAACAAAGTTATTAACTAGTGCCGTTATGATAGGATGATAATAAGACAGACGTATATGTATATTACTGTCCCAAATCATGAGTTAGTTCCCTTAAGATAGGCGATAAGTAGTCGCAACAACAAAATTTTATATAGATCGACAATAAAAAAGTTACACTGAATTCCTTCGGTGTTTAAAATATAACAACATATTGACGAGCTCACATCTAAATGATAATTCGACACTATCAGTATGTTAGACGAACATTGAATTCCTCACAATGGTCGAAATAACTAAAGGAGTTAGCTCCCTTTGGATAGAATCGAAACTATAGAAGATAATTCTAGATTCAAAACATTGATTTTATATAGACCATAACACTAAGGTCGTAAACAAAATGTCACCAGTGTTCCGCTCTGATGAGCTGATTATCAGGCAGACGAATATCATCATCTCGAAATGGCTCTCCTAAAACTGTAAACACGATACAATCATGAGTTATTTCCCTTATAGTAGAATGACAGTAACGCAGACGGACATTTCCTCCTTTAACATTAATAGTCAAAACAATTTAATCAAGAGATAGAACACCAATAAAATAAAAAAAAAGTCCAAACAACCGTAAGAAAATTTGCGCCGGTCTGATAAGCTAACAATAATAAGGCAGACGAATTTTGACAACAACACTCGTCTTGTGGCACCAACAATCTCCATTTGCGCCTCTTTGATAGAATGACAAAGAGGCACACAATATGCGTTGAATTTCTTTCTGTATACAAATTGTTCGACAAATAAGTTTAGCGATACAGAGCTGGCTTGATTAATCCCATACGGTTCCTTACAGAAATTGATTGCGAATTAACCATGAAAACAGTCCATAAACCAAACCCAAACTAATGATTGGCATACAAAGTACTGTCTGTATTGTATACATTGTAATGTAATGGTCTTCTATGGACATTTGGAATGGCGGAATAATTTTAAATATGTATAAGATATCGTTTAATATGATGCAATTGATTATTAAATTTATGTTTCTGGATACATACTAAGTTTTGTTGGGTTATGTTTCAAGTACGATTTCGATGTGACGGAAACAGGCAAAAGTAAATTGAACCTTTTAGTTATGTTTTGATTGTATTTCGGCAAATCAAGAAAAATTGATTGGTTATATATACAACTTTATAACAGTTCAGTCGCGGGAAAGTTAAAACACGAGGCGCCATTATCCAGTACTTGAAATCGCCACTACTTTTGTTGAGAGTCTTGATAATCCAAGATTAAACAAGACTGTTATGTTTTTCTTTCAATCATCAAGTACCAAAAAGTACTAGACTTATCAGCCCTCGAGACAGATAGTGGCGTTATACCAATCAAAATAACAAAAAGCCTAAATTACCAACTGGTATAAGAACCAACACTTTCTTTCGATTGTCATAAGCATTTTGCTCTCGTACCTTCAACATCACAGTAAATTTAGTTACATCTAGAAAAAATTCAAAATGATCGGATGGATTAAAAAACGTTGTAACAGGAGAAGATCAGATCCTACTGGAGGGAAACTTAAAGAATTGGGTAAAGGAATCAAGGAGGTCGAATCCGATTTTCCTCTTTACTTTACATTAGAAAACAAAACTTGTGTCACGATTGAGGAAGAAAATCCCTATGAAGAAGTTGGAAACGCATCTAGTATAAAGTTAGAAAAAGCCCATAACACCACTACCAAGTGCCATGCATGTCCTCTATGCAGAAGAACATCGTTGAATATACATTGTTCATGTCACACTGTTACGCCCTCGAGTTCAAAAGGTTCATCTAAATTTACCGAGGAACCAATATACGAACTCGCAAAATCTCCCTTTGTGAAATCAAAATGTAAAATTGAAAGGAGTTATTCATACTCTTGTGGAAATTACCGAAGACCTTTACCAGAAATTCCAAGGAACAGCATCATTGAAGCTTCGTCAACTGAGGATGCATGTTATGGTTATGAAAGTATTGGGTCAGATAGTGGTATGAGTTCGGATGGTGGTAGCGAGAAACACGTCTACAGTGGTTATGAACCTGTGTTTAACAACCAAGATGATTTTACTGGTATGATATCAGATGATAGCGACTACGAAGAAATAGAAACACTTCCTATTGTGAGAAAACCGAGAAGATGCAGTCTTGGTCCATCTTTTAAATTTGAATCTGGTGGGGCTAAGTCTAGGAACATGAGAAAACATTGTTTGAGAAAACAAGCTCAATGCTAATGATTTTACAGAAACTAGTTGTTTACCAAATAAAAAATGTTATTGTGTTTATTATCGAACAGTGCTATTGTATATCTCTATTTAATTGTACATATAATTTATGATTAAGCTAGAATAAATTATTTTGAAAATTTCAATAACGAATTTGATCTTATTTTTCTTTCTTCTTTATGCATCTTTTTGCAATCCTTTGAAAATTGGTTAGTCAGAGCTCATCACATGGGAATTGAAATAATGTTTTACGGCCTATATTTTGGTTCATAGGAGTTTTCATGAGCTTCTGCACTCTTAAAACAACTTGGAACTCATCGGCCATCTTGACAACTGTTTCCATCATTTCTAAACGCACTTCCGACATTAATGGAAAGTCAATTCATTTCAATATAATTTAAAAAAAAATCGTTTTTGCGTTAATAAATTTCAAGAAAGGATCAATGTAGAATAATTGGTCATAATCGATCTTTAGTAATGTTGATTGTTATTTCATCTTCTTTGGTTTTGGGAATAGCGGCAACTGTTGAAATCAAACGAAAGCATTTCGGTTTTACAATGTCCTTGGTCACATGATGAAGATGAAGATTTTAAGAGCAAAAAGCAAATTTCACACACTCTATTGATATTGTGAATTACTCTTTTCGGAACAAGTATACATAATATAGCATGTATATATTTTGATCAAAAAAGCTATTTTAATTTCTTGGTTACAAAGAATATAAGATTTACCGTGTGATATATTATCATTAACACATCATTCTACTCAACGTAGTTTTGGTTAGTGAATTGATGTCTAGACTTTGTACACCGACTAATTATTTCCTACCAAGATTTCTAAATTTTGTAAGGGACAGTATAAGATTAATCAAAACTAAATAATTAGTTTGAAATCGTTGAACAATCCTGGCGGGCGAAACTAACGTCGTATTTATTTAGTAAATCAGCATTCGTCGTTTCTTTTGTTATTCAAATTACTTCACATAACAATTGACAGTACGATATCTAAATACTATACTTTCGCTTCATTCCTTTGATTTCCATTTTCCCTTGATTCGAATATTATCTCCGTAGTACCGCAGAATGTACAAGTGCATGTATGAAATCTGGATCATTGGCACAAAAAGCATAATTTTGAAGAAGAAAAAACAACAAAACTATACGAAAATTGTGTGTGAATTGTTATGTATGCAACCTAATTTTACGGCTCAAATAATTTTATATTAAACAAATTTGCAATTGCAAAGTACGATAGTAAGTCATAAATGTTACGGAGAAATTATGCAATTAAACAAGTATGTTCGCATTTCAGACCATTTAATGAAATACATTCCATTCAAGACAAAGTTAACATGTTGATGGAATGCAAACCGACAAAAGTAAATCGAACCTTTTAGTAATGTTTTGACTGTGATTCATCAAATCAAGACAACTTGATTGGTTATATAAACAACTTAATAACAGTTCAGTCGCGGGAAAGTTCAAACACGAGGCGCCAATATCCAGCACAAATCACGAATACATTAGTTGAGAGGCTTGATAATCCAAGATGAAACAAGGCGGTTTTGTTTTGCTTTCAATCATCAAATACGAAAAAGTACTAGACTTATCAGCCCTCGAGACAGATAGCGGCGTTATACCAATCAAAATAACAAAAAGCCTAAATTACCAACGAGTATAACATCCAACATTTTCTTTCGATTGTCATAAGCATTTTGCTCTCGTACCTTCAACATCACAGTCAATTTAGTTACATCTAGAAAAAAATCAAAATGATCGGATGGATTAAAAAACGTTGTAACAGGAGAAGATCAGATTCTTTTGGAGGGAAACTTAAGGAATGTGGTAAAGGAATCAAGGAGGTTGAATCCGATCGCCCTCTTTACTTTGCATTAGAAAACAAAGTTGGTACATGTGTTGAAGAAAACAATCACTATGAAGAGGTTGAAATCACATGTCCGTTATGTAGACGAACTGGTCCAAGTGGCCCGTACTCGTGCCTTGAAGGTTCAACGGCAAGAGGTTGTAGTGAAGCATTATGTGTTCTACCAATACCATCTTGTGTAAATCTTACTATAAAATTGGAAAGACGGTACTCAGGCGCAAGTGGATATTGCCAAAGACCTTTACCCGAAATTCCAGGAAATGGAAATGAAGAGGCATCTTCATCGGAGGATGAATGTTATGGATATGAAAGTATGGGATCGGATAGTGGCATCAGTTCAGATGGTGGAAGTGATTGCCAGGTCTACAATCAATACGAAAGTGTTCTTGGTGGACATGATTCTCGTTATATCCAACAGGCTATATCGGATGACAGTGACTACGAAGAGATTGACAACCTACCCAAGTTCTACCAAAATCCAACTGTCTAGAAAGCTACATCATTAAATTTCTTAAACTTAAATCACGAGCCAAGGACCACTGGGGAAGTCGAATTACCACCGTCATTGGCAATGTGGAGTATTGACATTGACCAATTTTGATTTTTATTTGTGGTTCAGAGGACCTACGTTCTCAAACAAATTCTAACAAATAGTCAATATCATAGTTACATCTTGACGCCTCTAAAGTTAAAATTGTAAATACAATATTATTAGTGCTTTTGTTTATTTTATCGTTATACTATTGTTGAATAAAATATAATTGTTAACAAGGGCTTTTGTCTTAACGGTTTATGTCTTTGCAGTATCCGTTGAGGTCTACCTATCCTGTAAGTTAGGAAAAGCTCTTCTAGATATCTGAAGATGAAAATGCTTAACGAATCACAAACAAAAAAACAGAAAAAACTTTCCAGCAGCAAAATATTCGGCGACTTTGCACTGAACAATTAGAGAGATACAAAAATTATTCTATGATTTATTTCAATTCAATGAATCCAGCATTGATAACAACAAATTAAATAACAAACTATACAAAACAAAACTGTCAATAAATAACTAACTATTTCACTCAGATTGTCTACACAGTAGTACACTTCAAGGATGGCGATGAAATGGTAGATACTTCTTCGTAGAGATCAGATTCGGAATTCATGGTTTCGTAAAATCCACTGCTGTCGTCGTCCGAAGATACATCACATAATCGGCTACGGATTGGAATTGCTGGTAGTGGGCGTTGCTGTATGTCAGACATGGCACGATGAACAGGTCGACGTTGTTTGTTGATGGTATCTTGAACATGACTATTGCATCTTAAGATCTCGTTACCGTGAAAGCTTCGTCTGGTCTTTTTAAGCCGTGCAAATGGATCAGGAGTTGAGGTTGGTACTGTGTCGAGGTGATAAGTGCTATTGGCATCAGATTCAAAGTCGGAGGTGATGCAGTCACATGACTGTTCCTTACGACATAAGGGGCATGTCATCGTTTCTCGCTTGCACCATATATTATCTTCTTCAAAGTCGTCCATGAGTTTACTGGTAAGGGAGGTAACTGCGGCCGACATATCATGAAGGGCACTGTAGTTGACTTCTTCATAAATATGGTACTCGGATTCGTAGATATGGTATTCTGGTTCATCCTCGAGAGTAAAATATGGATTTTGTGGTACTGGTGTTGCTACTGCTTGAACCGATACATTCGATTTGATTCTTTTCGAGACAGGAACTAATGATGGTGCGGATTTTCTGCGGCATCGTTTCTTCAACCAACTGAACATCTAAAAATCAATTGAAAATGAATTCATGGATTACAAGGGTCCATAATGGAAAAATATAAAAACTTAATATAAATATTAGCATATACATCTTAGAAAAATAGGACTGAAAATGTCAATTTCAACTTTTAGTCAAATAAAACAACGAAACGGATTTTTTTTTTTGTGTGTGTGCAAAATGCGAACTTTTGTTCTTACAAAATTATTTTGAAATGATTGAGCAATGAAAAATACTCACCTTGAAATAAATAATATCGAGATGATGAGAAAGATATGAAATTTTGAGTAAAGTTCATTAAGGTACGATGGTGAATCAGCAGCGAATGATGAAATCTGTTCACAAATTCAGAGAATATATATTTCAAATTTGTCAGGAATGACTTGCTTCAGATGACATCATTAACCAAAACATTTCAATCAGTCAATCTTAATTTAATTTAATCATCTATACTGAAGGATTTCATCATTTAATCATTTAACGCAATCATATTTTGACGTCGTTTGTCTAAACATTGGCCTGTTTGACGCAATCATATTTTGACGTCAGTTGTCAAAACATTTCCATGATTTAATCATTGGCGCAATCATATTTTGAGGTGAATTATCAAAACATTTCGATTAACAAATTATTAGTCCAATTATTAATTCAAAGTACTAGTGTGCATATTAAGCCATTTTTAGGTTATAAGTACGATATGAATAAATAATTAATAAAATCATATTATATAGCATATACCAATACATACTGAGTAATAAGACAAACATTTTCATCGAGTAGAGATGAGTGGTTGACGAATTTTAATACGTACTATACATATCACACTTTTAGAACACTGCCCAAGTTTTTACTAAAAGGATTTCAGAATGCCCTTTTCCATTTCAAAAGTCAGATTGTAAATTTGAAGGCGATTCTTCTGTAGAAGGTATTGACTTGTATGGTTGTGATATTCTGACGTATAAAGAACCGGTTGGGCTAATGCAACAAAAGCAAGTAAGTCGTTTGTATTAAGGAATACGAATAAGCATTGGTTGTAGAGTATAAAGTATAGAGTATAAATTCATGGCACGTAGATTCACGACAATGTCTTTGTTTTTTAAGCAAGTTTTGAAAAATAATTAAATTATCAATACTGATTATGTGGGATGTCTGGTGGACTAAAATAGTCGCAAATTGGTGCCAAGCGATCCTTGAAGATACACTTTCGTACTTTATTGCGTATACAATGCATGAATATATTGTGCTGAAGGGGTTTTCCTTTAAAACTTGATGTGCATTCTTTCCAAGAAATTTTGGAAAGGCACTGAACTGCAAAAATTCATGTATGTATTAATGACTTGGCAAATTCAATCATAATTCAATTGTTGTTATAACTATGGATGTTCTAATCCTATCATAATTAAATATTTGTGTTGTTTTAGTCCACTGTCACTAAATAGAATGACTCAATCCACCATGACTCGATTATCTCATCTAATGAATCTATGACACAAGTAAATTTGTCATGTCATATATTGGTATATAATTCCAAAAACTTAAATGCAGTCATTATTCATTGCATCTTCATTTGATTTCATTGAAATTTAAGAAACTTCTAATATATTTATGTAAGTATATAATTAACAATTATTCTTTCCTATCCAAACAAATGCAAGTTAGTAACATTCCATTGAAGGATCAGTTATATTTTAGCATTAGCAATCGACCAAAAATGTTCGATAATCTATTTTGCATTACTTAAATTTTTTTGGAGATATATTATCATGTACGTATACATTAACTTTCGTATCCAAATGATTCAAATAAGTATCTTTCTATTGAATGATTAAAGTTTTGTTTTTTTTATCAATTGGTCGAGTATGTTTGGAATTTCTCCCGAAAAGAAAAAATGGACGAAAAAATTAATAATTTCCTTTCTTTTATTTTAGTATTTCATCATGTTTACTTGGATCAAGAAACGATGCCGAAGGAACTCAGCACCATCTTGTGTCTCCAATAAGAAATCAAGACACTCATTCTACTCAGAAAGTCCAGATGCACAGTCACCGCATTACTTTGAAGTAGAAGACGAACAATTTCTGAACCATTCATATGAAGAAATCCCAGAAATCATCCCTTCTTCCTGTCTTACTACCGAACTAGCAATGCAAGTTACCTCCCTTACTGATCAGCTTCTGTCTGGAATATCCAGTGATTTTGATAAATGCTTTATCTGTGGTAAAAGTTCATCGCCAGCTGAAAATCTTTCTAAAGACACACTTTGTACCTGTTATTCCGAACCTCTACAAGTTTATGAAAACGAATATGCCGACATCCCATCTGGTCTAAGAAAACGTTCTTTCGATGATTACGACATTCCAGTTCAAACTTACAGCTGTGACCACGTTTACCTTTCCTTAGCTACCAACAAACGTCGACGTTTATTTAGAAGTCGTTCAGATATCAGAAAGCGACCATTACCTCAGCTTCCTTCCAGACAGGTGCCGGACGTAACTGATGACTTCAGTGATACTGATGGTGACAGCAGTGGATTTTATGAAAATATAGACTCTGATAGTGATAGTTCAGTTGTTGGACCGTATATGTCGGACTCCATTTTGGTTTAATAACCTTCGGCTTGCTTTTGTTATATGTCGTGTTAAATTTGTTGACTTACAATTGTTGATATGAATTGTTGTATTTTGTTTTCTTACAACGTTGTTGATTTTTAATTGATTTTGTCTTGTTGGTTTTACAAATATTGATTAAAATATAAATTTCGAAAGGATTATTGTTAATAATAGGGTATAGTTGCAATTTATTGTCGCAAAAAAAACACGCTGTAAATCACTAAATGCAATGGAGGCATCATTTATTTGCATTAATCTGTTCATAATGGTATTTAAGTGCAAGCTTATCTATCCCTTAGCTATCTGTGAGTCAATACCACTGAAAGGCCAGGATGCGCCAATGTCATTTTGGCAGATCAGTTTTAATGGATTTTGGATACTGTAAGGCAACTTTCAGGTCGATCCTTGGTTCTTTAATTTTTGGGTGTTAATTAATGTATCTTTATAATGTTGAGAGAATTATGTGAAGATCTCGAAGGAATTACTCCACAAAATACAATAATTTTGTAAGATAACTGGGAATTTCTCAATCGCCATTTTCTTTAGGCTAATCGTAATGTAATTTGTTTGCTGTTTCAAATTATCTAAAAGATCCTGTGTTCGTACTTTATGAACTTAAATGTAGCACAAACCTTCGAAGCTGTGGGAATATAGTATAAGTACATTTTGTTTAAACGAAAAGTCACAATTGTCTCAAAATAGTATATCTAGACTGAAGTCATTGGAGATTTTATCATACATATAGAAACTTGCATCTAGTGTCCATGTCGTGGCAGAGGACAATCTCGTTTGGAATGTCGACATATGAAATTGGCCATGATTGCCCATCAGTGGATTTAAGGTTTCCGTTGAAGATTCAAATTGTATATTGAATAAAAGGTATTTGGAAATACATGTACAAAAGACATAATTATGTTTTGGTCATTACTACTGAAGCCACTTAACAATAATATGAATAATATATATATTATTTTATAGTAAGAATTTTACATCAGTGTTCATGCTATCGAGTGAGGCATGTATAACTACTACATGAACTTAACGCAAACATTAAATCTCTTTCTGTATGTGATTGCAATCCCGCTTGGATGTAACAAAACGGCACGTTTTGTGAACGAGTTTGTCAAGTGTGTTTGCGTGCAGTTTCAAAGTAAGAATATTGAATATATAAATATTCTCGCATCAACGTTCGTACCATGTACGATCTCGTGTCGGTCATGTAACTATTACATGATCCCATCGCACATATTAATGGCAGTACATATCGCTGAGTGAATACTAAATGATATGCACAGTTCTTTTATTTCCTTGAGTATTTCAACACATCGGATACAAAGAAAAACATGCTAATGCTAGTATGAGTCAATCAGTGATTAAATCATAATTTTGTCGGATTAAGTCAATGTCACTGACATACATGAGTCAATTACTAATTAAATCATAATGTTTTATTTAATCTTAATACTTGATGATTGTTGTTTTAAGTCATATTGACTCAATCGTCTAGGGTTTGACTCTATGACAGGAGTAAACTGATAGTGTCATTTTTGGGATATAAAATATCAAAATCTGTGAGTAGAGTTCATAATTCATCCTTCGTTCACTGAAAATCAAGGCATTCTAATCAATCATAGTGTCAATAAATTATTTTAGATTATTTTTAATGTAAGTATCTATTAACTATTTGACTCGTTTCATGAAATTTCCATAAAAAATAATTTTTATTATATATCATTGGTTTTCTTTTACATGTGATTTAAATTTGCCATAATGCATCTATGCATATTTCGTAAGTATTTATTTTTACTGATTAAATACATTTTCTATTCTGCACGTAAAGTTAAATTATATTTTTATATCGTTTTTCAGACTCTATTTCCATCATGTTTACTTGGATCAAGAAACGATGCCGAAGAAACTCCGCACCATCTTGCATCTCCAACAAGAAATCAAGACATTCGCTCTACACTGAAATTCCTACTGTTAAGTCACCAAACTTCTTTGAATTAAAAGACGAACAATTTCTGGACCATTCATATGAAGAAATCCCAGAAATCATACCAACTTCCTGTCTTACTACCGAACTGGCAATGCAAGTTACCTCCCTTACTGATCAGCTTCTGTCTGGAATATCCAGTGATTTTGATAAATGTTTTATCTGTGGTAAAAGTTCATCGCCAGCTGAAAATCTTTCTAAAGACACACTTTGTACCTGTTATTCCGAACCTCTACAAGTTTATGAAAACGAATATTCCGACATCCCATCCGGTCCCAGAAAACGTTCTTTCGATGATTACGACATTCCAGTTCAAACTTACAGCTGCGACCACGTTTACCTTTCCTTAGCTACCAACAAACGTCGACGTTTATTTAGAAGTCGTTCAGACATCAGAAAACGACCATTACCTGAACTTCCTCCAAGACAAGTACCGGAAGTAACTGATGACGTCAGTGATACTGAGAGCGACAGCAGTGGATTTTATGAAAATATTGACTCTGATAGTGATAGTTTTGTTGTTGGACCGTATATGTCAGAATCCATTTTAGTATAATTACGGTTGCAAACTGTTTGAATGATTGTTATCCAATAGTGCTCCTTATTGTTATTTTATATTCTGTTATTGTTATTAAGATGTTAATAAATTATTACATATTACGACGTTTCTTGTTACTTTTAAGTAGGACTGTTCGTCATGATTGGATCATTCTTACACTTAAGGCTAGTAGACCCATCATCTTCCAGTAGTCCAGACTCTATTGTCACTACATAATATTTGGCATGTGTGCTATAATATTTAAAAAAATTTGGGAAAAATCAATTTTGATCATGTTATGTCGTGCATTCATTTCAAAATATCCAAATGTATTTTTTCATTGAGCATTATTAAGGTTTCTTTTAGATGGCATACTACGCAAGTTTTTTTAAATAATGAAATATGTGCCTTACAAAACGATATTGCCATGTTTCGCAACTCCTCTATTATCACTTCATTTTCAACAACATAATGAAGTAAGCATTAAATAGATTCCAGACACCATAAACACACTTGTATTCCGAAGCTACAGCATGTAATGAATTAGTGGTCAACACCAACTACGCTTGTTATAACCTTACAGAAAATTAGTAGAAGCCGCAATCCTTCGCAAAAGAAGTTGATCTCTGTATGGGGCACAATTCAGAAAGTGTTATGTCCCTACTTAGTATTTAAAATCAATAATAACACTGGATTACAACTCGAAATCTAGGCTTATCGCTAACACTGTCTCGAATCAGATTAATATTTCAATACATATTAATTTACTAGTCTGCATTTGTGTCATATCCTCATAATTTAACTTTGAAGTTTGGCCTAAGCCTTGGTTGGGTACCGAAGTCTACATGCAGCCTTCCTAATCGAGATTAAAAAAATGTTAACCGATTATTTTCCTTTTACAGGGATTACCGAAAGGATAAACCTAGATTAGGAAATATAATAAACTTAAATTCATGTTTTAATATGATGTATAAAAACGTACTGAAATATTCTATGGAAAACTACTAATTGGGAGCTATTAACTATTTTCCATATCCTCTTTCTGATCCCACACCCAAAATGATGGGCTCTTTAGAGTCTTTGCAACACATAATAATTATTATAAGTTATAAAGCGAAATATACTTATCCTTTTCAATAAGCATTTATTCTTTTGAAATATAATATTAAACATAATTTAATCAATTGATCAAAAATGGTACAGTCTCATCAAAATGTGCCACGAACTCATAAAAAATACTTGCACAACCCTTAAAATTCCAATCAATAGAATATTTTAAAATTTGACACATTGCGTTTTAAGCATATAGTCCTCGAAATGCAGAAAAAATATGGAACAACGCATGTGAGCGAAGCAGAGATAGTCATGACATGTGTGCTGTACGTAGCCCATAATGAAGTCATTAACGATAACATTAGGCATATTGACGTGAAAAATACTAATTGTTTTATTCAATAAAAGTGCTAATGGTTAATTGTATATGTAATAATTAGCAAAACAAACACTTGGTTTGTATGCTGAAAGTGAAAGTTTTTGGCAGTTTTATTCTGCCTGTTATATGAAATCTGTCCATACATACAAACATTATTTTGCTGCATGATTAACACATACATTTTTCACGTGTGGTGTGTTTTCACACGTTTGTAATTGCCCACTGTAGTTATTTTACTCATGACATGTGCAATGTTTTAAAACCATTCATCTGTTATTAATAACAATTGTCGTATGAAACTAGTACAGTGATCATGTTTTTGCTAAATTGAAATCAAATGAATGGAGTTTTACGTTCTACTTTTCTGAAACATGTGAGCTAATGAAGACGGTTTTGCTAAATTGAACTATCATATTATTCATGATATGTAAATCGATTATTCCTCGCAAAAATATTTGGCAAATATATTTCTTTTTTAACGTTACCATAAATTATCGATTTTTATGCAACCAGAAAATATTTGAGGGCTGTATTGTAGCAATAAAAGCTGTTATCAATATCTTCACGTCTAATTTCACGTTTGAAATCATTGCCATTGCAGACACGGCCAAATTTTATCTGTGACTTTCTGTCCTGAAGACAAGACTTATATTTAAGGAATATGGCTTGGTACTATATCTAGTCGCAATCAATATACCATTAGAACATCAAAGTGCACTTTAAAGGGTCACACAGTATTTTCATTGTGTGTTTAATTGCAATCCATTACATCATTAAGATATGAACGATTGGACCCAGATTTTATTTGAGTATTGCTTGGAATCCATCAAGCGGTCTGAATATTTGATTTATAAAGCATAACACAGAATTTGAACGTATACTTTACATTAGTTCAATCTATTAAAATTTGAACGATTATTCTTTATTCCGCAATCAACATATATTTAAGGGAAATAACTGCGTATGCCTATTAGATATATTGTGTAATCATGGTGTTATTTTAACAATGGTCCTAATGACCCCAAGGGAGATAAAAACCCTACTGATATAGCTAATTGTTCTTACGCTCTATACCTATTTACCTAATTAATTTTCCATTGTTCCACTATTGTTCTTTAACAGATAATGTTAGTTTAGCATGACGTACCCCGAACACAAATAATTAGTCACGTGATTACGCGTCTTCACGAGTTTAGTGGACGTGATCTGGTGAGGGACGTCAGTGTTGAGATATCTGTTCAGATAGCCAAGAGGCAGTACATAACACCAGATTTCAGTTTTAAGTCTACATTGTCAACTATACTTTAACAAGTGTACATTTACTTAAGGAATATCATTTTGTTTAGTATCATCATTTTTACCAGTAAGGTAAGTCAAGCTGAATATTAACATAGACTGAATGCAACTTGGCATGGTTAAGTCCGAATACTTAAAAATGTGTCGAAAACATTTATATAACTAAAGGTTGTATTAAAACATAATGCATCTGCATAGAGACGTCGTTTTAACATTTCCTATGGGCAATGAAAGGATTGTGTTCTTACAGCTTTTTCTAACCCTGGTATCCTTGCAAGACAAAGTCACGATCCCACCAAATATTATGGTTTATGTAGCTCAAACTCGTATGTATAACTTATAGTTAAACGGACCATGTAGGGCTGTTATGAGATAAGCTAAACCTTTGGTGCTTTCATATTTGAAAGGAATAATTTAAGGCGAACGGATAACATTATCATGCAAAAGAAAATAATTAGGGTAAAGGCCATACAAATGGTTTCTGTCCTTATACCAACGTTGTCGTTCAACGAAATATGTTATAACTAGTTTCTCATCATAAAATATTTAAATCTTACCAATAATATGATTTTTCTAGTATTCTCGCACACTAATAGAAAATAAATTACACCTTTCTAATATAAAATCTGTAAGATAAATGAATTGGGAGCTTATCCTACTGAAGTAGATATAGGTAAATTTTGAGTATGTTCTGACACGTTATTTTCAACATCTTGAGGTACACTTCAGCATCAACTTAATAAGACCCTTGTCACTTTGGACTCAACGGATGACATAATGAGAATTTGAAGACAAATATTATAAACAAACAATCGAGGCATTTGACGTAATATTTTCAAACACATTTCGAGTAGTATTATATTTTGAAGTGGTTAGTGTTTAAAACCCCTCGAATTGTCTTATTTTCTTCAGTTTAATTGCAATTGACCTTAGGACAAATACTTAAAATTTAAAAGTAAGTACTAACATCAACACAATTTTAGTTTCCTGTCGTGATCGTTCTTAAATATTTGTAAATCCTTTGTAGGGTAGTAACCGCCTCTAGGCATCCTCAATTCAAAAGAAATAGATACACCGCAGAGCTTTGATTACAGTGAAATGTAATCCCCTTCTTTAAAACAATAATCGTAGTGACGGTAGAAGACAAATTGTGTTTTGTTGTCTTCTGTATCGCATTAATGTTGTAGCTTTAGACGGGGAGGTGAGAACTTTTGGTTTGACGACTTTGTGTGTCTAACATTTAATGCGATGGAATTTGTGAGGCTTAAGTTTTCATAGTATGACTTGCATCTGGCAGACCAAAGTAAACATCTGTGACGATAAGAACCAGAGTCTCCAATAATGAATTCTAGTTATCAATTTATTATTCCTTTCTATAGAAGGATGTGTTTCATAATTTTGAAGCTTAAGGGTAATCCAATGTCATATTTATTTCAGAGATAACCCAAGTTATTATGGCGACAATGATAAAATGGTTCAAGAAAAAATGTCATCGAAGATCGTTGCCTGGTAGACAACCACCTAGTGCTATAGATTTAAACAGGAGGCTATACGACGACGCAAATATTCCAGAAAATAATGTTAGTTATCATATCTACGAAGAAATATCAACACCACCACGAAGTCCTATGGAAATAACCGAAGCCGTGGAATCATTATCTAAGAGAGCAGGAAGAACCAACTGTGGAGACTGTTTGAGTAGACGAAATGATGGTGGAAATCGTGACATGTTACTAGAACAGCAACTAAATCGGTACAAAATTTCACAGAGACCACTTCCTCCAACCCCAGTTACTGATACCGCGCCATGTCCATTGTGTCGCAGGAAGTTGACCCAAGGCGAATTCTGCTTTTGTGAACTTAGAAACAGGCGAAAGAACGTAACATGTAGGTGTTCAGAAAACCATGTGAATCGCGATTGTCCAGAAGCCCTCATTGACATACACTTCACCCGTGGGCGCTTTACTCCATCTCGATCACCAAGACACTCGATATCGCTTTGCTCCGATCCAAATGATACAGTATACGTTCCTGAGAGTAAATGTTCAGATAATAGCAGCGGTTATTATAGTGATGATGACTTAGCATTACGCCTAGGATCTTTGGGATTACACAAACATGGTTTAAGGGGCTGTCTTTCCCACAATGGATTTCATGCGGTACCAAAGATGGGAAGCAAAGCAGTCAAAAGAAGCTACAGTACTAATGACGCTCCGTGTAAAAAGAAACCCGTCTCGCCACTATATCTGTCACCAGTGAAATTAACAACCCAAAGATCAGTACCATCTTGTGGTATCTCGAGATCGACAGAAAAGGCAAAGTCTAACTCAGGTTGCAAACGCAAACATTCTATTGGACCCGCCGAAGGACGTCAAGCAAGGATTCGCACTGGTCTTCAGACTTATCGTTCTTTGTCAAATAATAGAGAATCACAAAGGGATGCCATTCAACAGCGATTGAATTTCTCAGCAGACACACCTCAAAAGAGACTACCTAAAGATAGCCAGCTTCGCAAGCGACTTCAAGAATACAAACAAACTAAACTACAGGTAACGGAATCTACCGGGGGTATATCGCATAAGATGGAACGACGTAATAGCTTGCTTTACAAGAATTTAGTAAAATCCAGAATGATTGCTGATGATAACTGCCAAAACCGCACCCAAAAGGTCTTTATTGCCTACGTTTAAGTCTTCAAATTATTGTTGTGTGATCGTCATTGTATCAATCGTTTGCTCGTGAAACATCTTGTGTGCTCTTGTTTTCTCCCCAGTAATGAATTGATGTACATGTGTTTTCTCTGTGGCTTAGTCTTCAAATTATGGTCAAGTGTGATCTTCAGATTTCCTTAGCATGATCTGTCGTTCTTGAAACATCTTGTGTGCTCTTGTGTTTTGATGTCTTTTCACTGTGATAAACATTATTTGTGGTTTTTTCTGTATTTATGTAAATGTATTTATGTTCGATTTGCATGATCATCATATTATTCAATAAATTTGAAATTGTCGAAACAATCTGTATCCCTTTTATTCAACATGGGGTCATATGTCTTTAATATGTACCAATCCGCACCCCCTGATATGCACGAAAAATGCATTTGACGCTGTGCTTAGTCATGTCCCTTCGGCAAAATACAGACCTGACACTGATTTATGTGCATTAAAAGAGCAATCAAAACAAGTTATATCATGCACTTCGACGTAAAACTGGTGGCAAAGTCGACAGAGATGCTCAATAATTTTCGTATGATAGTTATTTGATTAGATTGCAGCTAACTTACTCTGTCCCAGTCTTGTGTTAAATACCTTTCCTTGCAAGTTGTAATAACCGCAAATAGCTCGTACGCATGTATTTCTTTTGTCGACGAAACTGGGTCCTTCGTGATATTTTGAGCTATTGCCTATGCCGTAACGTTTTATCAGTGCTTTAGAGGCAATAGTTATGATCCAATGGGAACGAAATTTTATGAGCATGTATACATTAATGAGGGCTTTGGCACGTGATTTGTCGATGAATTGCCTTAAAGTTATTAACCTTGGGTAAACAAGTCCTTATGCTCGTACTTGAACGGATGTAGACGAATTAAATCTAGAATGTGTTGGACTAAGAGGAATTAAAAATCCTTGGCCCATGTGTCACAGTCTGTATACAAACGTTGGCCAAGAAAAAATATTCTCATTACTCACTACATAGCGTTGCCTATCTTCAAAAGCCTATTCAGGTGCACTGTGGACAATGCATTTGTATAAAGGATGTTTCTAATAATTCGGACATTTTAATTTACTCGACTAACAGTTTTTGAGTTGTTGCTCTCCAAAATTGAGTGTTAATGCAGTAGAGGCCAAATATTTGATCGGCTATAATGAAACATGAATAAGATCGCGAATGATTTAGACTTTTGCGATTTTCAGATAATTCGAATTATTGTCCTCGAATTGGTAAAACTAGGTGAAAATTGGCTTGTGAATACGGAATTTGAGTGGCATATCTGATATAGTTTTTCGAGTTATTGCCCTTGACACATCTAAAGCAGGGAATACCTATTGTTCATTAATTTGGCAATATTGAAATTGGAAATATATGGGCGAACTGAGATGGATTAAAGCTTCATGCACATGAATGATGATTGTAAACAACACCATTAATGTGATATCTTCGATAATCTTTCATATCCAAGGGGGTTTGTTTAACAACCTGCTTGTAGATCGATGGGATCTTAGTTAAATTATAGCATCATGGATCCTGACCATGCCCAGTTGGATAGTAGAAATGGTATGGCCACTCGACATTCGATAAGGTTGGTCTGGACAATAGCATAAGCCCATTCTTTCTGTTTGTATCTTAATGAAATTTTAACGAAACAATCCTAATGTAACTTTAAAGAAACTAATTCAAACGAAACAATCTATCACCTACGAGCCCTCTAAAATGCGACACATTATTCCTTGTTCGCCTCTTCGAAGAAAACCGGATTGAAAAATCTGAAAGTATCACCTTAACCTATGATGGGACTTTCAGATAAGCGACCAAGCCGAGCTTGCTGGTGGAACTTAAAAGTCAATTGACGATCATTTCTTCTGGGCAAACCATGATCGCTATGATCTCATCAATAAAAGGGTACTATTAAGTTTTTCATCAAGACACCCACATTTAATTAAATTATATTTAATAAATATAAAATGAATGAAGCTATGTACAATGAAATAATTATAAGCACTAGAATGACACATTATAATCTATAAAGTTAATCTACACATTCTCGTATAATCTGACTTGAGAACGAACCTGGCGATGAAATGTCTGTCTCTGAAATTGAGTATTGCTGCATGGTAATCTGGATGAAGCTGCTCTACCAATTGTCCTCGATCTGGATTCAGATGTAGGTACATTTTCGTAAACTTTAGGTACTTGTCGAGTTATGGGTTCCCGGATAACATTAAATCGAGCACCATTGGCACGGGATGATGATCGGCAACGCCTCATGTTTTGGGTTCTAGACAGAGCTCTACATCCCATTCTTGGTCTTGGTGGTGAATGTTGGCGTACACTTGGTTGGGATCTTTGGCGGTTAAACACTTCTTTTGACCTTTGACGTAATATCATTTTCTGGAACTCGAAGGAAAGGCTGTCATCTGAACTTGATTCCGACTGGCTGATGCAAGAATCAAAATATCCACTACTGCTGCTATTGCTATCATCGCTGTAGGACAACTCCGGGAAATTCTTTAGTTTCTTCAAGGGGTTTTCGGACACCGGTTTACCTTCTTGTGGTATCTCTGGTAGAGGTCTCTTTGAAAAGTCTGGTTGTCTACGTTTTGGTTTAGACTTAGATTCAATAGGTGTAGAACATGATATTTCATCTACTTCATCATAATCGTCGTCCGAAATTTGATTGGAATTTAATACAGAGCAAAAGCAGACAAGATCACCTTTGACTTGCTTTCGTCTGCACACGGGGCAGATGGTTTCAATTGGTAACTTATCAACAGATTCCATAGTAATTTTGTCGGTTAGTGTAACAATTGCGTAAGCTAATTGATCGGGACTGATTATATCATCGATCTCCTCATAGTCGTGATCAACTGTGTCCGTTTTGACATCGAATAACGATTGATGACTTTTAATTTTAGCTTCTCTTGCAGATGGTGCTGATTTTCTTCGGCATCGTTTCTTGATCCAGTTCAACATCTTAGATTCTGGAAATAAAGAATACTATTAAAGATACGGATCAAAATTTGATACCTTCATTTTCTATTTTCGGAAATCAACGATTTGCAAATGTTCGTACTTAAAATATACAGTAACGTTCAGAGACGGTTCAAATCAGTCCAGAGACAGTTCAAATCAGTCCTCAAAGATAAAAAAAAAGTGTCCGTAAGATTGACTCCGAATGAAAAAGCTAAATTAGATGCTGAAAGATGTACCTTCATTTAAAAATGAACCTAAGAAAAGTCAAAGGTAACATTTTTTGCACACACAAAAAATAGAAATTCAGTAATGAGCTTACACTTACAATTTGAAATAAACCTTCGACTTCTTTAAAATTATTAGTAATTTTCAGTTGGAATGCAAGAAGAGAAATGAACATACCTTTTTCAATTTCTGTAGGTCTTATATACTAAAGCTGGGGTTACAAACATAAGCTTAATCTAGCTTTGTTGGTCTTTACTTTTTCATCGTATCGACCAATCGCGAGACTCCTGTTGATCACGTGATTTCATTAACCCCATGTATCTCTTATCCCTGTGAAAAACAAAGTTAACTGTTTATGTCCTTAATGAAGTATTAATCCTGATTAACAAAAAAACCTCATTAATGCGAAAAATCAATAAATTTAATTGTTTTATTCAATGGTAAAATCGCAGTTCCCCTTTCTTATAACACCGATACATTGTTAAGTATTTGATCTTATGGGAACGGCGTAGACGAATCATTATAGAGTAAGCATTTGTTATTTAAGAAAAATCAACAAATTAGGCCAGAGAATCAACAAATTAGGCCAGAGAATCAACAAATTAGGTTAGAAAATCTACACATTAGGAAAGTAAATCAACAAATTAGAGAACATAATAAGAAATTAGGAGGCGATATTAAAAATATTTATGTATCATTCTGTTGATTTTAAATTTATTCTTTATGATTCAATTTGTCGGAATAATATCGTCGCGACAGTGTAAATATTGGAAATGAAAGTGATTTCCAAAAATCTATCGTAAATATAATGATATTTCCTTTGAAGAGATTTGTCCTTTAGTGTAATAGTTTTTTATTTGAATTATACTAATGTCTTATGTTCTTTTCATGCAAATAAACTATTTTTGGAAAACGGTTATTGTACACGGCGTTTTTTGATATACATCAAGAATATTAAAATTGTATTATTGCGCTCTGCATCTGCACTTTAGGGCCATTTATCAATGCTTACTGCATAATTCTGATCTCCCTTACATCTGAAAATTACATACACAGCAATGATCATCATTCCGAAGTTATAACTAGGAATGTCTACTGGATCACAAACCCATTTGATGTAGACACCATAAAGTCCAAAATTTCGAACATAAAGTGTCCAAAAATAGAACGCGACCCCTAAACCCTCAGATTGGGGAAATAAGTATATTATGGGGGCTATGTAGACTATGAATAAGGTAAAGAATCGAAAAGCCCAGTAGCAGAGTGGCATCGTGTGTTCCGATGGAGTGAACTCTCAAGCAATACCCAAGAAAGTTGTTAAATATAACGGAGCAAAAAAAGACTTATAGCAAGTTACTAGCTTTCTTGTTTTATATATTTATTTCGAATCCTCTTTATAATAATTATTATTATGAAATTTTATTTTTGACAGGAGACAAGAGAAGGCGATGGTGTTGAGGTGGGAGATGAACCTAATCGGGTATAAGATACTGAAACGATCAACTTGAATTATATGTATAATTTAAAGATGATGGCATCGAAATCGTAAGGTGTCTTGAATGGTGCACATATTGACATAAAGTTATCACCACTAAGTTGGATTATATCCTTTATCTTTAATTGCAACTTGTTTATTTTTCATGTAAGGATGTTTTAATCTCTTGATAATCCGATATCAAACGAGCCGACAGGACACATAGTTTTTCTCAAAAATAATAAACAAAATTGTACATCAATATTTACAAACCTAGGCGCCGTCTAAAGATCTGTAAACATTTATATGCATTCTAGAATAAATGATTAACCCATGTTCTTTCCATGTATGCAATTTTACGTTCACGTTAATCTAATACATGAGTTTTCTTTCCTTTACGCTGAACAGGACCCTTATTTGATCGATTGCATTACCCTTCTCCTATAAGTCCTTACTATTTCGTTGATTTTTCTTGGCTTTTCCTTACAATTTTTTGATGTCGCAGGATATAGCCTTACTGAATGGAGCAACTTAAATTATAATAGATCAAAACTTTTACATTCGACCACAAAACGCTTCATTAATCCTCAAAAAATTCAACCGATAATCTACATACGGATGATGACATATGGAATTTGTGACTGAATGTTGCACTTATTTTGCAAATGCGGTCCGTATCCATAATGGTTTTAGTTCAGTTATGCTCCTTTCCAATGAGCAACGTAATAGGCTTCAATGTCATGCACTTCAAAAGACAAGACTGTTTAAAATACAACATATATTTAAATTAAAATTTACACAAAATAAATTATTTAGTTAATAATAACTCGTTTAACTAATTAGATATTTCAATGAATAAATAACAAACATACAAAAGCAAATTATTTATTTTAAAGAATAAATTAATGAACATACAAAAGTAAACTATTTAGTTAAAAAAAAACTGAATAGTTTTAATAATAAATTACAAACACATAAAAATAAATTAGACTATAACTATACCAAAATAAATTATTTACTTAGTAAAGTCAAATAGATTTTATAATAAATTACATATAGAAAAATTAAATGAATTCATTGGAATATGTTTAAGAGTTGAGTTTAGATAAACATGGCCGATCAATAATAAATATAATCTGGAAATAAAAAAGAAAAGGATAATGTAAACATTTGATCTAAAATGGAAGAACTCTAGACAAACCTAATTATTACACGAATACAACTCTTGCTCGCTAACAAAGGGGGTTCGAAGGTGGAATTGAGATAGTATCTTCGGCATTTTGGTTTTTCCTTTTCACAGTGATGCATAACTGACTGGTGAAGAGAAAGCGAGTATTCGTTGAATTATTGAGATATTCGTTGGGTATTTGTCACGAGGCCATCTGAACAGTTTTAAATAGAGTTTAGAAGGCAGTGGCAGAAAATGTAAATTTTCTACACACAGAAGACACCAGAGAAACTGGTTTGAATCTCTTTACAAAAAACGTTTAGATTATTGAACATGCAATTTAAATATTATCATGGACTGACCGGTTAAGATGGCAATTATACCATGGTAAATCCATTGGTAAGGGGCACTATATTTTGGGTTTGAATACTGCTTCCGGTGTTTGACACAAAACCATTACTTGACACGCTTGGACTAGGAACAATAGAAGCATCAGCTACTGATGACATGCCTCTTGCAAATGGCTGTGCCATGCCTCTTCCGAAAGGTGTAACCATGCCTCCTGCGAAGGGTCGAATGAATGGCATACCAAAAGGAAAGGCACCCATCATGGCTAATGGTGAAAATGGTCCCATCATCAAGGGATTGAAGGGTGGCAAGAAGGGCATTCCAAACATTCCTGGAAGTAATGGAAAGGCTGATGCCATGGAAACCATACAGATTAAGGAAACGGCTACTTTTGGGTACATGGTGGTAGATTTCTGAAATTAGAACGAAACATCATTTTAGATTTCTAAATAAGAGTTTATATTTCTAAAATTAGACGAAACAAACATTATGCATTTCTGACATTTGAATGAAACAAAGTTTGTATTCTAAATAAATAATAATGTCATTTGATATTGAGCTTGACGAATTCGTTCCTATCCCAACAACATAAATGGCCAATAAAACAAATGAAATGTATTCGTAGAAATGTTATTGCATCATTGATCAGAGTGAATTCTTTATACATTTCAAATGTTAGCAATCGCTTTGGAGTTTCTCTTATATAAGGTATATAAAAAATATTAGGTTTATCATTTTCCAATGATGATTAAAAGTCCACACACAAAAATTGGTCACAAAAAATTAAGCATTGAAATTGTCTTAGTAGGAATTTCCAATTAATCCATTAGAAAAAGAGGCTGCACATTTTATCTAAAAATGCGTAGGGCCCATCTTTGTAAGCTTGAGTTAGTCGAATAGATAAAATATTTTCTTACCTTTACTTGGTGATGAACTGATAATACTAGTGATTATTGGTTGTGATGAAGGTCCATCACTGACCATGTCTTATATACCTAGCTGACAGTGGTCAATATAGTTAATAAATCAGTTATTAGTGACAGCAATGCATCATATCGACAGATCATTTAGTAACTAATGTGTGCACGGCATTGTTAGTCAATTTATATTTAACACGTTTGATGATTATGTACATCAATATAATTCATGTATATTATTCTGGATAACAGGTACAGATAGATCAATTTGTATCTGTCAAACTCATTACATTTAAATTTCATATCAAAGGAATCCTGCGTCCGACCATGTTCCTTCACCAACGCTGTACATCGTTGATGAAGAAACATGTCGACCGACTGAACTGAACGTCATTGGACCTGTGGAGATGGTTTCCCAAAGAAGGATGCGATGAATTATATTTAACCCGACAGTGTTAAGATGCGTCTTCTACTCATACTTGCAAATCGTACTCATTCTCAACGAGCTTGTGAAAGATATGGAAAGCTTCGCGAATTTTGCGTGTCATTCTTGCACAGGGGCCATGCTTGTCTTCTCTGTATCTTTCCAATTTTAGTATATCACGTGGGTAATACAAAAGTCAAAGGTTGAGTTATTGGCAAATCTGACCCAACAATGATTGATATAAAACGGTCAAAACGGAACCATCTTGTACATGTAGTAAAAATGTAACCGAAATAAGGTCATAACAAAAACACAAAAACATCGTAAGAGACAAATAAGATAGTCGAATTAAAGTAAGCATTATCAATACAATTTCAACATAACAATATATGACCTGTTATGTTAAATCGTAAGGTCTGTTTTGGCGGACGTGGTTCGGTATGAAGTGGGGTTATACGACCATCGGGTTAGTTATATCAATCGATAGACTATTGGCGTGAGAAATGATCAACGGATTTATCTCACTTTTCCGTCTATGTTCAAAAAAATAAATTTTGTTTTCGAACAATTTTATATACTCATAATGACATGTAAGGATATTTTTCGTCACTCATGTCTGTCCGCCTTACTACAGTTACTTGTAAACAAAATTTGGTAAATGTTGAACTCTATTAAAAAAAGAAAAGAAAAATATTTAATATCAATTATCTCCCTTGTTGTTTGAATCGCGTTCAATTTTTACTCGTAAACAAAGCACAATCCTTGACAAAACTATTTAAGGACCATATCGAAAGCCACTGCAATTCTTCTAAGCCCTTTAGAATAGACATGCATTTACGAATTGCTTGAAACTTGGCCGAATTGCTCATCAGATACCTATGATGAACACTAAAATTTGAAAAATATTTAATTTAAGCGTTAGTCATTGTTTTCGAAACTCTGTGAAATTTCCTTCATTTCCATCAATTTACTTTTAGAGAGAGCTGTGGATTATTGTAAAAGATAGAAATGCACAACACTTTCAAATAATTTTTAATTAGATATTGTATACTTGTAACTATAGATTTGGAAATGGTAACGGATTAATATAAGTTTCGGCTTGTTTCTAAAACCATAGCTTATACATATATATGCATAATTTGTAATTTATAAATGAATATTATTTTTCAAAAAGTATATCGAAAAACTGAATCATTTTTACCTGAGTTATTGCTCTAGCTCTTCAAAACGCGTTAAATTTTAGCTTGTTAGCACCCAGTTATTGGCGGATTCGGATGAAACTTCGGTTAAATTCGGTTAAATTACTTTGACTAAAGATGAACCTAACCGATATTCTACAAAATATTTGATATTATGAGATATACTACTCTGTGTAAGTCGCGAAAGACTCCGAAATTATATGTAAACAGTTTTAATACTGAAAAATGTCATAGATTTATCGAAATTTCACTTTAGGGGATATATACAATATTATTGAAAGAACATTATTTGTCCTTAATCTATCGGTTGTCGAAGATGGTTTTTCTAGACGTTGTCTAATGTATTTAAATTCAAATTGAAATTCACAAACATTACTCAATTTCAAGATTGAATATTTTTTCAACATATTATATCATTATACGTGAAGTAATTTAGTGTCTTTTCATTTTCCAAAGTTCATTATTGTAAATCAAACAAACACGAACATCCCTCAAAATCAAACTATGGCCATAACACTCCACAAAATCAAATATGACGAGACTTTCCCAGCATGACATCTAGCACTTTACGACAGTCACATGGGAAACTTCCTAACTATGGGTAACATTGCTAATCGAATCAACTTTAATCTTGATTAATCCGAATAGCTATCATTGTTATTTTTATAGAGAGTTCCTTTCCCTTGATTGGAGCATTGTTTCAATCAACAACCGTGGACAATTTCACAGAGTTATCTGCCCTTATCTGACTGAATAACCTCAGTTGTTGTTACAAGAGGGAGACGTGTCATTGACCAATCAGTGTTGTTGTTACAAGCGGGCGACCTGACATGGGAGGAAGTTGTGTCGCATGCCTTAGTGACACTACAGGGGGCAGATGAGAAAATAATGCCAGTTTAAACCCGGGAAATATAAAACCAAGAGTAAATTTCGAATAAACCACATTCTTTTGATTATCTTAGAAGTGTAAAGATCTCTACAGTTTTAATTTGCACTATTTAGTTTACCTATATATATTATATTATCAGGTATGTATTTTGGTTAGATGAAGACTAACAATTCGTTACACTGGAAGCGTGTTGAAAGTCCTGTATTATGTTAATATACTTACCTTAGGATTTGTAACTCAATGATCAAATGGAACATACACGGAACTGCAAGTTGACAAGCACTATCAAAGAGTCAAATTTTGGTTTTCTTGGTGCTTAAGCAATCTCTATCGTATGTTTTAAAGTTTTGTGTACCATCATATAAGTAATAATTAACCTTTTTCAGGATGTTCAGTTTACTTAAGAAAATCCGTGGCGAAGAGGAAGCTGTCCCTTCTTTTAAACGTTATTTTTCACCAAGAAAGTCCTGGTTATTGGATTATGAAGATAGCGACACCTGCCTTACGCGAAAGCTTAGATTGGAGACGAATGCTGTAGACGGTTGCCTGACAGTTTCACAAGAACTTGCTTTTGGAGAAGGTGCTGAAGACCACATTTACGAAGAAATTGGAGACGTTGTTCCCTTCTCTCCGATTGAAAGCTACGTAAATGCGTTAACTGTCTTAACTCAACAAATTGAAACCGATTTTGGTGAAAAGTCACGAGAAGATGATGATGTCTCTCCCGATGAACCAGCACCAGTTGAAACATTGTCTGCCTCTAGTCCAATGACTGTGAGATGTCGTGAAAAATGTGAGAGATGGTTAACCCAATTGTCAAAAGTGAACCCCACAGATTTTGTAATTCCAGAGCCCATGACACCTACAGACAACTTCGACCGTCGACCTCATTCCTCGAGCAGAATCCGTAGAAGACCGAATATCCGAAAGATGAGTGCTGAAAAACGTAAAGAACTACTCCAGAAAATAGAAGAAAACTGGTTTGACTCGAGTGATGAATCCAGTGACGAGTCTTATCCATCATTGGTGTCTCAGGAATCATCAGGTCGTCTGACCCAATCTTCATGTACCGAACAGACCATCGAAAATCCATCGAATGAACAGTCTCAGTGGCAACGATCATCTAGTGAAGAATCAAGTGGTATATTTGAAGGCAATTCTTCATGCAACAAGACTGGTGAATCTTCGGGAGCTTCTTTCGAGAATTTGAACAGCATCACCGAAAGTGACAGTGCATTTAGTGAGATTCAGAGTAAAGATCTTCCTTCTTTTCGTCCAAGAATTGGTTTTGGTTTGAACAGATGGTATCGCCATTAAGTGTAATCTAAAATAAGTTTCTTAAAATAGTGCTAAAAACATTTTGTTTCATGACTCGATACTGTTGTTCTTGTTATTTATTGTTATTGATGAATGTATTATATGAAATAAACATACATGCCTAAAACTACTTACTTGTCAAAATAAAAAGAGTTGCATTAAACAGTATTGTTAAATATATATCTTGAAATAAGGCGGCAAGGCATTTTCGAATTAGTCAAGTTGATCATTTATCAAAATTGGACGGCAAAGGATAATCCCGTTGGTCATTTGTCGAAATGAGGCGGCAAGAAATAGTCGAATTATAATCATTTGTCAAGCATTTTGCGAAATAGGGCGACGAACACCATTCGAGTTTTGCATGAACATGTCGAATGGGACGACAAGCCTTAGTAGAGTTTTACATTAACATTTCTAATGTGACAGGAAAAGGCGAAGTTAAGCCTTGGCATTTCAAAACAGGACAGCAAGCAATAATTTGGATTTTGTTAAACCACGTAATATTGAAATTTTCTAGGAAGTTTATTCATTATGGCATTCATGAGCACACTTTTGTGTGGAGTTTATTATTGTTATTTATATCCTCCCTATCATCCATCGAAAGGTACGACTGGCATCCATTGATGGATGTTTTTCCAGTTAATGAGAATTTTGGTTTTAGGGGTTTTGTAAAAATAAATAAAGGCATGAAAGTTTTTGCACCTGTCTTTCTAAATAATGATTCATTTTTCTCTGACCTTCTCTCAGGCAACTTTTGTTGTTTTGTCCGTTGTATTCCCTTGGCCACTATAGTTATCACTTTCAAACTGTGTGATATATATTAGATCAACAAGCCCTAAACAAATCATCGATATATATCGGTAAGCCACAAAGAAATAGCTTGACCTAAAACGGTATTCAATTAAGTACAAATGGCCTATTATTAGTCGATCACACTCGGGGTTCGACAAGGGGACGTGTTTTAACCCGTTGTATTCATGATAGCTATTAATGTATTTGACATTTTTGATTTATCTATAAATATTGACAATAGATATACTTATATAGTACACCCTGACAATGATACTCCGAGGGGTATTCAGTTCATACATTTTGATCGGTGAATTAATATACGTTAGGTGAGATTACGGGTTTGGATTAGCGTTATAGGTAGGCTTATGCAACGTTTTATACTTCGATGCATTTATTTGCTTTCTTATAACGCTATCGTTAATTTTTATTACACATGACGAATATGAAATATAATACGTTAGCAATATCATTACCTTTCATTGAAGTAAGAGTCATTAGATCAAAAACATCTTATTGCATAAATAGAGCATTCATTGGGCTTCTTTAGCTGCACTGTAGTATATTACGGTATAATAACGATTCTTCTGCTTCTTTAGTTGGAGTTTTTTGGGGGAAAACCGATGTATTAGTCACGTGTTTCAGAACTATTATTTAAAACCAATATGATGTGCAATATATACGCATTTTTCGTAATGAAATTATGGAATTAAATCAATGAACGATATAATAGGATGAACGATTTATATACAACTTGTTATCCATTTATTAGATGCATGCAAAGCACCCCCCAATTCACCGGAGCATGTTACATTTATTTATTTTAGCGAAGCTTTGGTGTTTTAGTGCTAACCTATATCTTGAATGGTCACCGAGTGCATGATAAAAATACAATAAAAAATCATTTGTGGTTTTCTTTATAGTTATTTTCTTTATCAGATATAATAGCCACATTTACAAATATAATGTAACCATGACCCACGAATGTAATCTACTGAAAGGGCATAACATAACATAATTTTATGAATACACTTGTCATATAAGATAGTAAGTCTTGAGGTGGATTCCAAGTATGTACATGGTCTGATTGTCTATTCAATATCAAAAGGCGGTGCTTGCTACATGGGATATAATTTGTCCCGAAACCTAACAGCGTGGCATATGATCCGGTTTTGAAGTGCAATGATCTATCCAGAACAGGCAAATTTTGGCCAATCGAAATCTATTATAGCATCTCGAAGTTAACACATTTTTTGTAAGTTACTTGTAACCGTGATTGAATTAGAGGATGTCAATAAGCTGCAGTAGGAAGCATCACATACCAACGTTTGATCTTTTGCATAAGAATAGTAGATTCAACATATTCTCCAAGTGGTTTCATCCTGTCAATTGGATTGTTTGGTTAAAGCTTGCACTGATTTTCAAGAAATGATTATCCTGATTAGCCCAAACGATCGATATTGCATGTAACCTACATAATCTCTTTTATCTGCGGATCAATTTATTTGAATGGATTATGACACCAATAGTTTGGAAACCGTCCAACCGGTCATATATAATTTGATTATAGATTTATTTTGTTATTTGAGATTTGACAAGTTGATTTGATTTTAAAGAGACGATATTAATTTTGTAAATAATGGATAATGACTACGGGTCACTGTAAAATAAGCTTAAACTATCACTGACCGCAATGCTCTATGGAAATCTAGTAACCATGTTAGAACACCGTTGAAGTGTAAAATAGTAAAAGCATTCATGTTCAAAAGCTCATTTGGGCCTCTACTTACAAATTTTGGAATCCTAGAGGTAGACGCTAACCTGAAGGTCCAAGGCTCCTCCTGGCATAAGTGTAGACAATACATTCGGTTTTGTCAACCCGGTTTCCCCTTTTCAATTATATCCATTCCTATGTAGGTTAAAGATGCTTGGACAGTAGTAGATAGAAAAATGAGTTTCTCTGTTATGGCAAAATTGTCATCATAGCTCAGTGCATATCACTGACTTAATGAGCTCGACCAAAAGCAGAAACATAGGACGCAATGCACAAAACTCTAAATCAATTTATTTTGAAAAAGTTATAAAGAATTATACCCGAATCAAAGCCGCCAACGATTCATCGTATCGGTATTCTTGCGTGTAGATAAATTGTGGTTTGAACACATTTCAATATTATTTTTTTTCTTTAAGAGGATCATTAGATTGTATTACAAACCCCCAGATTAATATTTTTTGTAATGTTGTATTTTACAGGGTTATGATATTATAGGCCCAGTGACCGTTACTTGACAAAGAACCCACTGTGTTAGCATAAAAGGATCTCGACCAGTAGAGCGAATTGGAAGGACAAAGTGTGAAGGTGAACATTGGACATTGTATTGTAGAAGAAGTTGGCATTAAATGGGATGTATTGTTTCAGCGTCACTACCTCGACGAATTGCTGATTAAAAATGACAACCGAAGGAGCGGGACAAGTTTCCATTGATTTGTGTTCGTGTGGTATATGTGATAGACCTACTATTTCACCCAAATGCTTACCTTGCATGCACACTTTCTGCAAGTCGTGTCTGAATTGTCACATACTGGAGGAGCTAGAGGCTAATCAAAATGGTAAAAAGACTTTTCAATGTCCGCGGTGTGGTGTGAGTATTCAAATACCACAAAATTCAGTCGAACCTCATACCGACAATTTTAAGGATGACGTCTTCGTCAATAGGTTATCCGAGGTGATCAGCATTTACAACGTTGACAAATTGTGCGATATCTGTGATCGCAGTGACATCGAGTCGCCAGCAGTTGATTGGTGTACGGACTGCTTTGACTCCATGTGTCAAAAATGCAAGACAGTTCATCTTAATGGCAGAGCCACCTCGCGTCATTCGGTCATTCAACTAGAGGAGTTACGGAATATGTCGGTAGAGGATATAACTAAACGGCAAAAATCAACCACATGTAGAAATCACGAGAGGGAAATTGTGAAATTTTATTGCGATAGATGCAAGATTGCCTTATGTGGAATTTGTTTGGAATTTCACAATGGATGTCGATCAGTTACGACTGTAGATGAGGCAATAAACTTTCACACTAAAGAACTTGATGCAACCGTTGAAAAGGCAAAAGAGTGCGAAGTGAACCACAATTCTATGCGAACAGATTCATTAGCAATTCTGGAAGAATCTATTGCGTCATCTGCAGAACAAATTCGAGCTACAGCTGCAGCATTGAGGGAAAAAATAGACTACTGTGAAAGAGTACTTCTTGAAAAGTTAGAACGTGACGGAAACGAAATGCGTACCAAAATTTCAAAAGCTGAGTGTCCCGAGATAGATCACTCCACGCTACTTAAATCTCGTGCCGATCGTTTTGATGCTGTCGTGAAATTTGGAAATGATTCTGAAATCTTGGAAGTCTTTTCTTCCATCAAAGATAACGTCAATGGTATGAATGCATCAAGAATGCAGGAGGACACCTTGGTCAAAGTGAACTTTATTGTGGACCCTATCGCACAAGCAATACAAAAAGACTTCAAATCGCTTGGACAAGTTGAAATTGAAGATTGCAACACTGATGCAGGTCTGTCATCCTGGGGTGTTACTTGTACATCAAGGGACGAAATTATTGTAGTTGACTGTAACAATAAACGTGTCCAAAAATTCAGCATTGAAGGGAATCTCATTGACCATATTCAAATCAGCGAGGAACCGCGAGATATCACGTGTACCGGAAGGAATGAAGTGGCCATTACGATATTGAAGAAATTTATCTTCTTCCTTGGAACCGCCAACGATATAAGGTTGAGAAGGAAAGTCAAGACTGAGAAGCAATACGACAGTATATCCATGGCAAATCTTCTGGACAAACTTCTGGTCAGCTGTATGGAAGAGAAATCCATCGATGTTATTGATATCGAAGGTGCTATATTACAATCGTTTAGCGCCGATGGTCAAGGTTTGCAGTTGTTTCAGGAACCCAGGTATTCCACCTTCGATAAGAATGGTAATATGTACATTACAGATGTTGCTCAAGGATCGGTAAAGGGAATTTCCAAAGAAGGTCAACTTATGTTCGAATACAAACCCGAGGGTGCTCACGTTTTGCGTCACCCACAAGATTTATGTGTGGATAATATTGGTAACATATTTATAGTCGATTACTCTAATAGTCGAATACATCTGATAACCAATCGAGGACATTTCCAAAGATTCATTCTAGGAAGTGAAAATGAATTGGTTCGTCCAGTTGCAATCCACATTACAGCTGCCAATAAATTAATCATCGTCCAAAGTGATGGAATGGTCAAGCTCTTTACGTACGAATGACCGGGAAATGTCAAAGTACGCTTTGCAGTAAAATGCATGTGTGCCAAATGCTGCGAGGCTGCTGAGAAGCAACTGAAAGAAAACTCATAAATGTTGATTTCATCACGATCCTCTAGACTACTTCTTCTGTATGTCTTGTCATTCCATTGTAAATTGTCTAGTTTTAACCTGTTATAGAAAAGATCTGCGAATATTTATTACGATTTTCATTCAGGAAAACATCAGAAAGAAAAAGAATTTGTTTTTGTTTGTCATTGTCATTTCGAAATATTTCGCCTTGTTTGAAAGAAAGTCAAAACACTAATTTATTTTACCATCTCTGTGGACCAAAATGTGTCCCAACTTTGAGATCTTATCTGCGAGCATTTCGTCTTAACAGACGACAATTTTCACGTATTATTTTATTTTATGCACTGGATGAAAGAGGAAACTAAATTCCAGCCAAAATCAAAGTTATTTATCAATTTGTGAATTAAATGTACTTTATTCATTAATGATGCAAATATTATTTATTGCGTAATGTATAGTTTTCCATTTAAAATGTATTTGTAATGTTATCAGTAGAAGTAGTCGAGGTGAAAATCCTCTAGTTTAATTTAGTATAGATCGAATGATGTATTTAACCTAAAGCCTTCACTAATAGGACGGTATTATATGGATATTTTCTATTCTTTATGTCTCTGGCAATGGCTTTTCACCTTTTATGTTCCAGGATTTGTAGCAATTGAGTTGATCGTTTTCAGGGTTTTTTTTTTTATTAGCTAAGCAGTTGAAGATTTTACATCCGACCTCACTGCATCAAAGCCTTGTGGCTTCATCCGAAGTTAAGTCATTAACACCCGATTTTAGGGTTATCTCTATTGTTAAATGGAAATGTTATGTTTGGATTTCGAGTTTCGTTTGGCGGTTAGGATCGTTCGTACTTGATTTATTTATACTATCGAGCTAATAAAATAGATGCATCCCACATTGAATCGCATTTAAAGAGATCATAATATTTGTATGTTCAACTGATGACTTAACTGCTACAAACCCTACATACCAGTACATGTGCTATATTCATCGTTTTGATTGATTGATTTTGTTTGATTTGCATTGATTTGTTGTTGCGTTCAATTTTATTCTTAATGTTACCTCTATATTTTGTACTTATTTGTTTGATTATGATACACGTTATGTATAGACTCGTAATTATTTTGATCAATTATTATCAGATATATCAAAAGTTATTGAGTATGATCTTAAAGCACCCTCCAAAGAAAAGTGAGAAAAATATTGGATGGAGCTCAATGAACATAAATTTATGCATCCCAATAATGATGATGACATAGAACATAACCATTACCAAAGCATCATAATCTAACCCTTGTGATGACATCGTTTGTAATCGCCCTGAGTAATGCATGCAACAAAACCCTGCTTATCTTATGGTCCAGAAAATTGCATAAATGCCACGTCAAAGGAGCTCAATGTATGGAAATCTGTGCATCACAAGATGATGATGACCTCGTTTGTAATCCCCTCCGGTATTGCATGCAACAAAACCCTAATAATCTTAACTATTAATATTAAGAGTTATGATGGCCCAGAAAGTTATTCGCTCAGGGTTAGTTCCCGCCAAAAGTCGAGATAGTACCTTTTCTTTTCCCCTTATACATTGCATTGCTGTGAAAAAATCGCGTTTACATTCTAATATCCCGAAAATGTGCATTAGCCCCGCCACACCGGATCGCGGCAATCTATAGAAAACGTGAAAAAGACTTTTAAAATTACAAAATCTAAAACAGCCGCTGTTAAGGTATTCATACTGCTTCATGAGCGACTATATTGCGTTCCCAAAGCACGTTTATAATAAACTGAGCTTGGTGCACATCACTTTTATTTTATGGAAATAGTACGGAGCATGTCTACAGACGGTCGCAGCAGCAGGTCAGTGAGGATGCCTTACCAGTGTGACGGGGCTATTAGAAACGCATTTTAAATGGTAGGCAACTGACAAAAATGACACATATTCGACCAAGCACGATTCATTTTATGACAACATGTCCTCATTTACAACGTTTAATAGATAGCTTACTATAATCATTAAATTAATGTAGTCTTTGTCTATGTAAATATAGTGTAAACACAACACTTTTTAACTTCTTTTGTCAATATGAATGGAACAATACGACTAATAGCATAACATAATAGTTAAGAGAAAAAATTATTTGAACAGATACTCAACGTAATAAAGTACATTAGGTTATACATCATAGTATCGACACATCTAAAACTGAGATAGTTCTCTGGATTTCGATACTGTCAAGTGATATTGCGAGCCGGCTTCAAGACCTCGGCCAGCGTTTTAGGTTTTTTAATTGGCGTAGGTCACGAGTTGGTCATCACTATGGAGGGATCAAATAGATAAGAATGACTGCATATTATGAGCCAGTGCAGTGAATATCTAGAGACCTTTATGTCTAATAAACCGATACGCTACAAATATTATTTCTAAAATATAAAATTAACGCCAAGGAATGGCGGAAACGGCATCGTTACGGAGTCACATATACTATCCGACTATATGCAAAACAAGTCAGACAAGCGTTATGTGTTACGAAAAGTTAGCAAGGTAACCATAAAGAATATCGAATTAATGTATGGTGTACAGTCGTCCGAACTGTTTATTATGTTCCAATATTAATTTGGTTATATTACACACCAGAGGGTTAATGACTGCCAGTGGAACAGATTGTCTCTGAGGTCTCTACAACATATTATCTTTCCGATTTTTGAGTCAAATATTTGATTGAATTTTAGACCAACTTTTTAAAATCAATCTCCTTCAAATATTTCTTCAATTGCCATTTTTCACAACTGCCAAATCTATCTGTTTATTTGGTAAGTGACATTGGCAACATCTGTTCCGTTATTGAGGCAATGATAGCTACTGGATGGACTCTGAGCAAATTGATATATTACAACAGCATAGGTTATTAATGTACCAATGACCTGAAATGACAACAGAAATTTTTATAAACAGCATTTCGTCTTCTTGGAAGCACAAATATACAGATTATCACGAAGTTACTAGATTGCAAATACATTATATTTAACATACTGAACATGGACAGTTTTATTGGATGTGATGAGATGCACGTATGATAAAAAATCAATACGTACTGGCCATTGAATTCGTCAGGTATTTATGGGTAGAAAGGGGCAAAATCTGTCTCATATAGTTCCAATTACTATATAATTTACTCAATTTAGTTGAAACAGAAAAGAAAATAAAGTTGTGCATCTTCCACGGTGCGCACAGATATCTATGTCCGAATATTCGAATAGTTATTCGAGTCGTAAGTTGCCCATCACATCTGATCTAATAAAGCTTTAGATTCCAAGATACCTCTTGGCATACCTTAGTAGTGACCAGATAAATTGAATTACTTAGCTCATCCTGCACCAAAAAATAAAGATGGGAAATTTTAACACCACGTTTATGCGCATAGTGCTCTCGGTCTTGCAAAACTCGATACATTGGGTCTTTAATGCATAGCAAAAAAAATGGTTGCTACTGCGTATATGACTGTGGGTATTGAACATACCTACCGTTAGAAATGTACTGCTGTCCAAAGAGAACAAACCATACACATTAAAACCGAGACAAGGTGCAAGATATCTGACAGACATTAACTGTAACTGCAATTAAAACCATATCGTTAGTTATTAGCCCTGTATTCAGTAAACAAAAACGCTTTATTAGTTATGACAAAACCGTCACATGGGGCAAGTTTATTTTGATTAATCGAAAGTTGATAAAAAGAACGATTTTCAAATCCAAAAATATCAGTCAAATATGATAAAACATAAAGATTTCGGGACTACCTTCCACATCATAATTGAATAGAAAGGGTTAACAAGACACGTTCAGTAAGTGTGAAACGAATAGCTAGCCCCTATGATTATTCAGCCGTTAAGCAATGTGGTTAAAAGCTATATACTTACAGACGATGAAGCTTTCTCTGAGAGATTTCTGTTGTTAATTTTCATGGCATATTCCACTGGTTGCTTTACCTAAAAAGAAAATAATGCTAAGTTTTTTTGAGTCATTACTATTATTTATTTTCTGATTGTACCACGGCAGAAATGTGTTCTTTAGTAGTCAGTCAGTAGTTTCATGAATTCTCTCTCAAACAAAATGTTATTGATCAATTGAATGAAATTCTGCATTATAAAGAGATCTGTCCCTTGTGCAATGATAAATATAAATAACTGCTGCAGTGCCGACGTTATGGCGAATCTTATTGAACTACTTTCAATAGAAATTTAAATCGGAATGAATAAAAGCGGGTGTGTGTGTTTTGACGGAGGTGGGTCTAACGACACTGGGTATTACATTTGAAAAAATATGAATTATAAGTACCTTATTAGCTGTATATGTTCCTAAAATCAGGATCAAAAATAGCAAATTAAATACTTGAATATTCGTCAAACCGGTATATATCATCTGCGGCCGATTGGAATTAAGTGTAATGATTCCATATAGTATTAAGCATGATACTGGAATGGAACTCGCCAAGATAGCAAAGAACAAGTGCTGTAGAAATTCATTAGCTTTGGCGATGATATCGAGTACAGCTTCATATCGAAGACGTAGTTCCTCCAGCGTCCTTTCGAGTTTGATGGATTTGTAGTTCGAGCTGTATGTGGAAGAATTTGTATTAAGAGTTGGTATAAAAGTTACGTCTTGATCGATCGCGTTCATCTGCTTCGTCGACACGTCTTCGAATGCGATTGGTAGTTGTTCGTTTCTATCTTTTGTTATTTTCATCAACTGCTTAGATAAATTATCAATCTCGGCATGAACTATGCAGCAAATTGATATGTAAAGTGCTATCTGTATTAAAGGGATGCTTGAAGCGGCATATGCACTCAGGAAGAAGTAAATAAACGTAGCAGTGGCGTAAGTAAGTGTATCGGTAGTAAACGGGTAAAAGAGATCACTTATGTCAATCCATACAACGTGTATTAAGAGACATAAACTCATTATAAGAGCTACCAATAAAACACCTAATACATAGCTCAATATAAAAATTATATGAAGTCTACGAAGAGTTTTAATGTTAATAAATTCACCATTACGCATTCTATACTCGTCCAGTTGCGATAATAATGTTGGTAAATGGACAGAGATTGAGTAGCACGAACATGTAGCTGGGTAGGCATAACCAATACTGTACACAAACATTCCAAGAGCGACAAGCAGAGAAGCTGTGTCCTGTGATCGGTAGATGACGAAACAATGTCTCAGAACACCTGACCAAATGAAGCAAGTAAATCCAAGGAAATATATCCAATAACATACTTTTTTAAACTTACCGGGTCCTTGTGGAAAATATAAACAGGTGAAATGCAAAATTCGTACAAAGTGTTTGTACAACTCATTGCTAGGTATAAAACTGTGATCGCTGGTGTCATGAATTTTAGGTGCCATGGTGACAGTGTTCAAAATCGTGTTAGTCGGGCATGTAGCTCTAATTGAAGATTAACCATACCGGATATTGTAATAGTTCAGTTACCGTCTTTGAATCCAGTGACAAAAAATCTTTCCCGCTTTCGTGTACTCTATCACATCTTTTTGCTTTTGTCTGTTCTTTGTATCCTTAGAAAAATAAAAATTATTGGCTTCTCCTTGTCCAGCAATTTCCTTTTTCTCTGTCCAATAACAAAATCACGTTTTCAGCATTTTCTCCGTCCAGTAACAAAATCACAAATCTTTGTATTTCCCCGTCCAGTTACAAAATCATACATCAATGCACTTTACTTTCCAGTAACAATGTCACAAAAATTTGTAGTTTCTCTGTCCAACTGTTAACCGATCATGTTCCTCGGTAGGCATGCACATTAAGGAATGAATCTGAGACAAAGTGCAGCATTATGTAATCATGTTACACATTTATCAAATCGTCTAGTTCTGATTATTTATTTTATGTCACCATGCAAACGCACTGATCGTTTCCATTTTGTCATTAAGTATTAAAGTAACTGTGTTTAATGGCTATATTCAGTGATGGTTGAATGTAATGAAGAACAATCATTGGTTCTGTAAATATTAGCTGATTTTTTACATGATTTTAACTGTTTATCTAACTGATGGAACATCATTTAAATATTGTTAATAACAATACAAACTCATAAGCTTCGAAAAATCAAACAGTTTTCACTTAAAATCCTATCCACTAAATATTTAGAATTGGCAATATTTGCTTTAAATAGGGCTTCTTACGTGATTCACTCATAATATCTGATACCACTATCATTTTGTTTATGCTATATTGCACACTTCACGAAAATATTGCCTGTTTCGCATGAAAAATACACAAAGCTTGTTGTATATTACTGAACAGTACACAAAGCTTGTTTTGTTTATTAAACAGTGAAATACACGAGTTTGTTGTATTTTACTAAAAGTACACAAAGCTTATTGTATTTTACTAAAGCGTACACAAAGCTTGTATTTTACCAACCGGTACGCAAAGCTTCTTGTATTTACCAACCTTGATACCAAGCTTGTTTTATTTTACCAACGCCTACACAAAGCTTGTTGTATTTTACCGACCGGTACACAAGGCTTGTTGTATTTTACCAACCGGTGCGCAAAGCTTCTTGTATTTTACCAACCTTGATACCAAGCTTGTTTTATATCACCATTTTGTACATGGAGTTTATAATGCAGTACAATGTCGATCACCAATGTTATCCCAGCTATCACGACAACACCAGCAAGTAAAACAAATACACCTTTGATATTATCCAAGAATAGGGGTTTGACTGTTTGATCTATTACTCTACATTGAGATGGGCGATTATCTTGTGGTTTCATAATTTCTTCAAGTAAACCACTGTTCTCAATTTTATCGATAAAATCATCTAATTTGGACTTCAAAAGTGATCCTTTTTGGACTGCCATGGAGTAATCAGTGCTTCGAAGATCTAATAAATGATCATTAAAGTCCAATGAACAATCGCCGTAGATTTTCAGAAGATGATGACCGTACGAAGTCAAAAACGCATACTTCCCCTGAGAAACCTTTTTCATATGTACGTTTAAGTCTGTTGAAAAGAAAAGGGGTTTGACTGTTTGATCAATTACTCCACATTGAGATGGGCGATTATCTTGTGGTTTCATTAGTTCTTCAAGCAAACCACTGTTCTTAATTTTATCTATAAAGTCTTCTAATTCCGTCTTCAAAAGAGATCCTTGAGGGACTGCCATTGAGTATTCAGTATCTAACATATCGAAAAGATTATTATTAAATTCTAGTGAACAGTTCCCGAGTAATTTCATACGTTCACGACCGTCCGCAATTACAAACGCATATTTTCCACGAGTAATCCTTTTCATATGTACGTTTATGTCTGTTGATTGAATATTAGCATCCTTCTGTGTGCGACTCTTAAATGATTTCCAAAACATTTGAACATCGACATTTTTAGATGTGTTGAGAATAATAACTTCAGACGTACTGCTCAAAACACCAATCTGCCAGCCCGGTAAATCCAAGAGGTCTTGGATAGTTTCAAAAGGTTTCACTTGTTTAGGCACAAGTGACCGTAATAAGGTTGCAGTGTAAGTCGCTGCCAACACAACAGCGAACATCAACCAAAAAGTAAAAAGAATCCGAGCAGAGGTTCCCTTTAGACGAAAATTACCTCCTTACAGAAGTAGGGCAGCTAAAACAAATTCTACAGTATTGGCAAGACGATTAAAATTTTGATCATTGGACTCTTTATTAGAGAGGAATATAAATAACAATGATACACTGATAAAGATATTATGGTGCAGAGATAGACTTTTAATTTCAAAGGTTGCGTTAAGAGAAACCACCAGACATAAACTCCTTCTTGTACAATATACCAGGTTTTGACGTTCCAAAAGGGTGAACAATATCCACTGCTTCTCGCCGATCAACAGTGGGTGTCAATGTCGCAAGCCCTAGATCGATCTCGTGACTGACGAGTTGCCCAATCAATCCGGACCATGAACCATTCGTTAGAATACCATATTCGCCATTTGTTGAATTCACAATATCGTATGTAAAATTTAAATACCGACTCATTGTATGAAGAATATTATAATAATTCTTTTCAAACGGATTGTCCGGGACTACGCCAATTATTATTTTCTGTCCGTTCAATTTGTAACGAATGTTTGGAAATATTTTTTCATCAGTTGAGGTTCCTGGAACTGATTCAAAGATATTGCCGTTCAAAGTCAGAATTCCAATACACTGGCTGCTACTGGGAATCACTACTGCTACGTTCGTTAAATTAGTCTGGAATCTGAACGTCATGGAAGGGCTACACCAGTTTGTCGGAAAGATAAGCCACTTCGATTTGGTATGAAGTAAGATTTCTGATGTCCCGGATGGTACCAACTCAGAACTGCTTCCAGTAAAAGCACATCCGGTTGCGATTAATCTTACAATGTTCATGAACTTATATAAATGCTTTCTGTATATTAACAGAAGAAAATCGTTCTCTTCGCTTCTGGATAATGAGACAACTGTAAACAGGATGTCCCCGAATCGTTCGAGTTGTGATACCAGTTCAGAGGCTTGTTCATCGGAATCACTATCGTGTACGATCACTATTTTTTCCCAGGACAACTGTTGTAAATGGTATATCACATCAGAGATTTGAATTTGTATAACTTCTGCCATTGAAGTAACTTCGGAAGAATTTGTCCCTATACATAATATTAATAACATCATGAATTTGGATGCAGTCATCTCAATATCATTCACATTACCGTAACGTCACTTACTCTAACACTTCCCGTACAATTGACCATAAACGTTCCATTGAAGAAGATTTGTTCAGCTGTCAAGGAGTGTGTGAGAACGTACCAGCAAATCAGCTTGATGCATATCCACCTTCCTTCCATCATCCAATTTATTCAATTCATTTTACAAATTGATATTCCAGGGATTCAAATTGGTTCAACCAACACAACTCATACAATGTAGTGTTCAAAGGATATATACACTCTTTCAAGATAGAGAAGTTCTAATACTGTGTTATTCAGGATAAAGACTGTTCCTTTACGTATATATATGAATAAAGTAGATTTTAGACAAAAATTGATCCGAAAATTAAGACAGTAATCATTTAAAGTTAACTCTACCTAATCGCTGCGCCATTTATTTATGATTCACAATATTTTCTCAATAGAAAATTATGGGGCTAAATCGTGCAAGACACAATAATGCAATGGTCTGAAATCACCACCATTTTAAGCAATATTGTTCACTTACCGAAAAAAATGTCACTTTTGCCTGAACATTACACAAGCCTTTTGTATTTTAACGAACAGTGCAATAAGGCTTGTTATATTTTACCAAACAGAGCACAAAGCTTGGTGTATTTTACAAAAAAAAATTACGCAAAACATGTTTGTAATTCAATAAAAGAACACCAAGCTTGTTGTATGTTACCAAACAGAACATAAAGCTTGGTGTATTTTACCAAACAGTACATAAAGCTTGTTGTATGTTGCCAAACAGTACATAAAGCTTGGTGTATTTTAACCAAACAGTACATAAAGCTTGTTGTATTTTATCAAACAGTACATAAAGCTTGTTTAATGCTATCAAACAGAACATAAAGTTTGATGTATTTTACCAAACGGTACATAAAGCTTGTTGTATGCTACCAAACAGTACATAAAGTTTGATGTATTTTACCAAACGGTACATAAAGCTTGTTGTATGCTACCAAACAGAACATAAAGCTTATTTTATGCTACCAAACAGTACATAAAGTTTGATGTATTTTACCAAACGGTACATAAAGCTTGTTGTATGCTACCAAACAGTACATAAAGTTTGATGTATTTTACCAAACGGTACATAAAGCTTGTTGTATTTAACCCAACAGTACATAAACCTTGTTGTATTTTACCAAACAGTACAGAAAGCTTGTTGTATGTTACCAAACAGAACATAACGTTTGTTGTATTTTACCAAACAATACATAAAGCGGGGTTGTATTTTACCAAACAGGACACAATGCTTGTTGTATTTTACAAAACAGTGCACAGCTTGTTGTGTTTCACTTAATTGTACTTAAACAAAAAAATTAAATTACTAAACAAAGTTTGGTGTATTATACCTCTATAAGTAGTAGTACAGCACATTTTCGATCACCAAAGTTATGCTAGCTAAAACCACACTACCAGCAAGTAAAACAAATACACCTTTGACATTATCCAAGAAAAGGGGTTTGACTGTTTGATCAATTACTCCACATTGAGATGGGCGATTATCTTGTGGTTTCATTAGTTCTTCAAGCAAACCACTGTTCTTAATTTTATCTATAAAGTCATCTAATTCCGTCTTCAAAAGAGATCCTTGAGGGACTGCCATTGAGTATTCAGTATCTAACATATCGAAAAGATTATTATTAAATTCTAGTGAACAGTTCCCGAGTAATTTCATACGTTCACGACCGTCCGCAATTACAAACGCATATTTTCCACGAGTAATCCTTTTCATATGTACGTTTATGTCTGTTGATTGAATATTAGCATCCTTCTGTGTGCGACTTCTAAGTGATTTCCAAAACATTTGAACATCGTTATTGTTAGATGTGTTGAGAAATATAACATCAGACGAACTGCCCAAAACACCAATCTGCCAGTCCGGTAAATCCAAGAGGTCTTGGATAGTTTCAAACGGTTTCACTTGTTTAGGCACAAGTGACCGTAATAAGGTTGCAGTGTATGTCGCTGCCAACACAACTCCAAACATCAACCAAAAAGCAAACAGAATCCGAGCAGAGGTTCCCTTTAGATGAAAATTACCCCCCTCCAGAAGTAGGGCAGCTAAAACAAATTCTACAGTATTGGCAACACGACTACAATTTTGATCATTGGACTCTCTATTAGAGAGGAATATAAAAAACAAGGATACGCAGATAAAAGATACAATGGTGCAGAGATAGACTTTAAATTGTAAAGGTCGAGTTAAGAGAAACCACGAATCACCCACCAGTAACTCTTTCTTGTACAATATTCCAGGTTTTGACGTTCCAAAAGGACGAATAAAATCCACTACATTGCGCCGATCTTCGGTAGTTGTTAACGACGTAAGTCCCAGATCGATCTCGTGGTTGACAAGTTGCCCAACCAATCCAGACCATGTTCCATTCGTTTGAATACCATATTCGAAATTTGTTGAATTCACAATATCGTATGTAAAATTTAAATACCGGCTCATTTCATCAAGAATATTTTGATAATTCTTTTCAAACGGATTGCCTGGAACTACGCCAATTCTTATTTTCTTTCCGTTCAATTTGTAGCGTATGTTGGGAAATATTTTCTCATCAGTCGGCGTTCCTTGAACTGATTCAAACATATTACCGTTCAGAGTCAGAATTCCTATACACCGACTGTTACTGGGAATCACTACTGCCACATTCGTTAAATTGGTCTGGAATCCTGATGTCATGAAAGAGCTACACCAGTTTGAAGGAAAGATAAGCCACTTAGTCTTGGTATTAAGTAAGATTTCTGATGTCCCTGATGGTACCAAATCAAAACTGCTATTAGCAAAAGAACATTTGGTTGCGATTAACCTTACAATGTTCATGAACTTGTATAAATGCTTTCTGTATATTAACAGAAGAAAATCGTTCTCTTCGCTTCTGGATAATGAGACAACTGTAAACAGGATGTCCCCGAGTCGTACGAGTTGTGATACCAGTTCAGAGGCTTGTTCATCGGAGTCACTGTCGTGAACAATCACAATTTTTTTCCAGGACAACTGCTGTAAAAGGTATATGACGTCGGAGACTTGAAATGTGTTTACTTGTTTAATTGAATTACCTCCGGAAGAATATGTCCCTATACACAAAATTAATAACATTGTAAATTTGAATGCAGCCATTTCCAAATCATTCACACTATCTTAACGTTAGTTATTCCTAGAATCGTTGCGTTGAAGATGATTTCTCAAGCTCCTATTGAGACTGCCCTAAATGAGATTTACGTTAATTCACCTCCCTTTTGCAAATTGCTTCAAAAACACAACGTACACAATGCAATGCTCATACGATATATACACAGGGTACACCAAACGTCATTTAAAACAGAGAAGTTCTAGTCCTCGTTGAACAATTACAATTATGACCATTCTATTATTGATGACAATATAAAAGAACAATATAACGATATATAAGATGAATAGGTCAATATCCACAACTATTAGTCACTGTAAAAAAAAGGTGCTTAATACATCAATAGTAAAGCGAGATTAGACACTATGTCATTTGATATGATTCTCACTCTTTGCCTATATATTAGCAGAAAGTCGGAATTTTCACTCATTTTATTGAATCAAAACCATGACCTGACACATAATCAATGGAAATGCGTTTTATCAAAGTTCTAAAAACGCAAAATACGTAACATTTGTTAATTATCTGAAATGTATATAATTGATTTTTGCGGCTCATAAAACACTGACCACAGGAAGGATGTATCCATCAGGAAAAAATAATACCCGTTTCCAGCCTGCTTCAGAACAGTCTAGTTAAAATGAGGCTAAACCAATGTTTCGATTTTTTATTAACTTTAATTTTTAATATAGCCGCTTCAGTTAGGGTCTAAAACGTTCGTCAGAATTTTAATTGGACTCTTTTTGGAACATCTTAAAAAAGGAACATTACTTTATGAAGATTTTTCCCACGGAAGTTTTGATTACAGATTCGGACGATCATCAGTCAGCATTAATATTCCCAAATTGGTATTGGGATTTTCAATATTTTATTTTATTGTAATGATTTCAAAATGAACTGCAGATCAATAAGTGGGAAGGCCTTCATCAGACTGGTGGTTAAAACCAAAGCAAACCTCAATTGTTAGCTGTCAACAAAGATAGTTCTATCAAGAATAGAATATTACATAATTGTCATATTTTCTAGAGCTCATACAATGCTGCTGACACATGTGCCAGATTCCAAATCATAACGGCTGGTTTACGAAATAGGGTTACCTTTGTAAAATAGGCTTTTGGGTGTATCAGCAAAATAAACCAACTCACAGGATGGAGAGATTTGTCTAGGACTCCCGAAATGAGATTTATGGTATAATGAACTAACATTAATTTTAATGGTTGAGAATTTTTGTTTCATTCAGAGAAGCTTCTGCAAGCAGTGGTCACTTCAGTCGTATCGACTTCACCGCTGCACCTATTATTTAGAATTCACAATATATGCTACGTAGTGAATTCAGGGGTTTAATCGCGTTGTCTGAAACCACCACCAAAACCACATATCAAAGTTTTGTCTGTTTTTACAAAACAATACACAAAGCTTGTTGAATTTTACCAAACAGTACACAAGGCTTATTGTATTTATAAAAGAAAACACAAAGCTTGTTAGATTTTACCAAACTTGATGGATTTTACCAAACAGTACACAAAGCTGATTGTAAAGAAAAACACATCAACAACACATGCCATAACATCAATAAAAAAAAAACATCACCGTATTGTACCTGAAGCCCGTCTATAGTGCCGCACATTTTCGATCACCAACGTTATGCCAGCTATAACCACACCACCAGCGAGTAAAACAAATACACCTTTGACATTATCCAAGAAAAGGGGTTTGACTGTTTGATCTATTACTCCACATTGAGATTGGCGATTATCTTGTGGTTTCATTATTTCATCAAGTAAACCACTATTCTCAATTTTATCTACAAAATCATCTATTTCCGTCTTCA